TGCGATACCTGTACAACGCATGTCGATATCGGGATGAAGGTAAATTTTGATATCTTGTGCAGCCCCGTGCAGGTCAGAAAAGACTGTAGTTTAAAGGAATACTTCACCCGCAAAATGATCATTTGTATATCAGTAACTCATCGAATATTAGCTTCAATCCATTAAGAAGACATTGCTTTCCTCGCATGCCCCAACGGTGATTGGGGAATCATCCAAAAAAGAAGAAAATTCTTAATGAACTGAAGTCATGGGAAATCAGGCTCGGACTGGCCATCAGGCATTTCTGGCAAATGCTAAATGGGCTGGACCACATTGTGTGCCACAAAGTTACCACTAGTAATGTTGGAAAAAAACTGAAGGGACAAAAAAAATGAAAGAAAGAACAACCTGCTAGCTGGCCCGCTTGATGTTGGAGCAGCCTATCTGATTAGGGGTTACATGGTGCCAAAATTGTCACTAGCCCACCTATGCTGTATGGCAGGTTCAGCAGTACCTGCTGTGTTCACCTGTGTTTGTGTGGATCGGTCATTTATGTAATGTCAGAGGTCAAGCAGGTAGCATTGGGCCCGGTCCATGGGAAATTGCCAGGCCAAATTTTGTTCCCAGTCTGATCCTGTTGGGGGATTGTGTTTAACACTAACACAACTGTATCAAAATATACATGTACATACTCTCACAAAACTTGTGCAGTGTAATCCGAGTCTCATTTATCCAGTCATATGCTCGGTAGTTCCCAAACACATGCACTTTCACTAACACATTACAACTTACAATGCATTGGTACAGTCCCCACGCATGGCTGAGTTCCTTTCCTGCTCTAAAAGCAAAGTTTTACTCATAAATTTAAGGTAACGTGGTGAGTAATTATCATACGGTGGTTTTGCAGGTGAACTATTCTTTTAAACCAGTGCCATATTTTGGCTTCACTATAATAGTCAAAGCCTCACCTACCATATGCCCATCAAAAGTATATACAGCTCAACCACAAAATAAAACAAAACAAAAAACCTCCATTCATTCTGCAACAATCTGGATTATTCTGTTGCATTTTGAAGATAGAGACACAAAACAAAAGACACCAATCAAACACATCCAGTATTTGAAAAAAGCTGTTTTTATTATTATGGAGCAGCAGTTTTCAAATAAATTAAATAAACCATCATAACAGATACAAAGCTCGACTGTTTCAAAGAAAATCTCTCAAAGTCACTCACATTACAATTGTTCACAAATACATCATTGTCACATTATTGTAGTCACAGCTGTTCAGTTTATCACTGCAGGCTTTGCACAAAGAAATCCACTGCCAGCCAAAAATGGAACATGACTCTTTAAATGTTCACGAAACAACAGCTCAAAAGCCAGGTTCAATATTAAACTGTTTTTGTTCTATCTGTTGGCGAGGGTTTGATAGATGACCACCAGGCTGTGATTACACGCACACCGGGACTGGGATTCTGTGAATAAGGCATGACTCACGTAAACACCTCAATCTGTTTGTTAGTGTCATAGTGTTAAAGCTGTCACTAAGACATGCAGAGTCAGAGACCAGCCGCATCATCAGAGGATAGTTTGTAAATGTAAACACCATACTCTTTTTGAAGATGCAAAGTTGTCCCAAAAACACAGATTTTGTTCATTTCCTTCAGCCAAGTTAAACATGTTTTAAAGTTAGTAGAAAAAGTGTTTAGACAAATGTAGACAAAACGTCTACCTCTATTTAAACACATACTGTAACTTCTTGTTGGTGTGAGCAGACATTAACAGGTCAATAGATTGAATTTAAACATAGCTGCTGTAAGTTTCATTCATTAACGCAGGCTATATACATTTTCCACTGAATTTATGACCAGTGTGGTAAATTACTATTTTGATATCGATTAGGTCACAAGAAAGCAGAGTATAATGTGCAAGAGGTTGACTGAGAACCATTTGTGGGACACACTGACATTAGGCTGGAGGCGAAACTGTCTCTGTAGATTTATACTCATCCATTGAGGAATATAATCACGAGCGTTTTGCTAGAGTTGTGGTGTGTTCCTGTGATTTCAATCATTCGGTGCAAACTCAGGCTCCCCGATGTCAGTCTTTTTACTTGTTTTGACTTTCTGATGAAATTTAACATGTTCAGTATCATCATGAGTTTGTAGTCTTGGCTTATGCAAATATTGAAATTCAATGAAATGAAGATTGTCAACAACCAATATCTGCGCTCTCTCCCTCAGCAAACTGGGTAGACAAAAACGTGAACAAGTCTCTGATCTGTTTATACAAAATGCAGGTTTACTGATGCTGAATTGACAAGAATACTGCCATCAAATGATGCCTCTTATGTCGTGTTTCTCGAGTCATGTGTGTTTGCAGACACGTAAGGAGTCTGGTGTAATATTTTCCACATGGAGCAGGATGGAAAATGATCTCTAAAGATATCTATTTTTAGTCTTGCAAACTGTGATCATCTCCAGTCTGCAAAATCTTATTAAAATTCACACTGTCTTCAGATGTGAGAGGATGTCAGACTTTAGTCTTTTAAAGGTCTTATTACAGTCTTGTAGTTTATGGTACCGTAGGCATAAAACACAGGATTATATCCAGAGGTTACTGAGGCCAAGCGCCCATGTGACATTGTTTTGTTGGAGCACAGTGCTGTGTATAAGTTCTACAGTGGGATGACATTGCTCAGCAACAATATGGCTCGTACAGCCACTCACAGTAGCAGACAGCAGACGAAAACATTAAGCATGCCTGATAACCAACATCCCAAATGAGACCAGCCTACCTGCATCTAGGGGATGCTTATTTAATTTGCTCATTTACATCTGGCATTAACATGTGATCTGAATTATCAGCTCATTATTAATAATTAATAATTACTAACTAGTCCATACCGATTGGTAGCTTTGTCACCTTCTACCTATGCCAATCCTCAATGTCTATGTGCAGTTTCACATAGATTGACCACGTCAGTGAGTAGAAAAACGTGAGACAGACAGAATGACTGACTGACAGAATGACACACTGACAGTTTCTGTGATTATGTACAGCATACCATACCATGACTTAGTCATACCAAAAATTAGAAGAAAAAAACAACAACATTGGGCCACAGGGGGAGCCACAGCGATCAGTCGCATTTTCGCCATTTTTAAGCATTTTTCTGTTGTTATAGCACCACCCAGTAGCCAATTAGAGTTAAATTTCTCCAGTCACCTTGAGGCGTCCTGTTCTACATATCTACCAAGTTTAGTAAAAATCGATAAGGTGGTCAGGCCTAGATCAGAAATTAGCTCTCTAGCGCCCCCATTTTGTTTGATGGACTCAATAATGGAGGGGTCCCCTCAGATTATGTGTGGTCATATGCCTACAAAGTTGCGTGGTGATCGGTGAAACCCTTGAGATGTTATACACCTTTATGTGATGAGCCACGCCCTCCACAATATTCATTGCCTTATAGAAGCTCAGTTTTAGTAAGTTTTCCAACTTTTGCCAAGAGGGAACTTTAGATATTGGTCCCTAGATTATGTTCACCAAGTTTCATGCAGATTGGTCAAACTTCCTAGGAAGAGATCGATTTTAAGTGTTTTTCAAAAAATTCAAAATGGCGGAAAATCTATATAACCGGAAGTTATGGGTTCTTGAGGCAAATGTGTTTCGCATGAGGAGAGGCATCTCTGTGCAAAGTTTCATGTCTCTACAACATACGGGGCATGAGAGATGCCCATTCAAAGTTTGCAATTTCAATCGGTTGCTATAGCGCCCCCTTTGGCCAATTGATGTAATATTGCTTCATTCACATCCTCCCATGACCCTCTACCACTGTGCCAAATTTCACATGGATTGACCAAGTCAGTGAGGAGAAAAATGTGGAACAGACACACAGACAGACAGAGTTTTCGTCATTATATAGTAAGATAACATGCAAATCAGTGAGATGAGAATAGCAGACTTGTCAACAGCTATAGTAGGAAGAGGCAGAGTACGGCGACCTTTCAACTTGTTGGAGGAAATTTTTTTGTGATATGCATTCCTGTCAAACTGTGTTTTACATCCAAATGTGTTCCTTCTCTAGACAGGATATCCAGATATAAATTACATTTTAATATCAGGCGTTGGTCAAATCAAACTGTGTTTTGTCTTAAAGGCAGTTTATGAGACTTGCTCTCTGGGCTTCACCTGTTCTGCCAATCTCAGAACACATCAGCCATCGTCTGATGAGGATAAAGCCTCAGGTGGCAACAGCCAATATTTCAGGAGATCTGGTGTGGCCTGCAGATATCAGGGCCAAGACTTCCTATTTTCTGCGCTGGTCATTGTGACAGTTTGATTAGCATCTTGAGCCAAGTCCAGACAACATTTCGGCTGAACTCTGTGAACAGATACCTGCACATGAATGTCGATAAATTAAGAAAAACCTCATAAAAGTCTAAATCCTGATCAGACGATAGCCAGTGGGAACCAATATTGCATTTTGGCCACTGTGTTCCACCTCTTTTGCCCTCCACACAGCATGTTTACCTGCAGGAAACCAAAGCTTACTCGAGCGTGATTGGTCAATATTGCCATTATCTACAGATGTTGCATGCATATGCAGATCTGTGTATATTGAGATTACTGTTTCACTGACTGCTGAGAGTCAGAAGAGCTGAAAAAGTTTTAGGGTGCTTTCAGGCCTAGAGTTTGCTTGCTTTGGTCTGAATCAGGGGCTAATTTTGGTTGGTTTGTATTCTCATGGCAGCATTTACAAGCAGACCAGATAAAATGCCATGCTCTTGATTGGTCAGAAGTTTATAACCGGATTGAGACCACCTCTTCAAGAAGGTCTCAGTCCGGTTGTTTTGGTGTGCACCCCAGTACGATTGCTGTGTGCACTTACTGGGCAAAGGAACTTGTGTTTGACTGAACAGAACCAAACAGGGCAGGTGTGAAAGCACCCTAAATTTATCAGTGCATTTCGGATGACAAGCGGGACCCCATCAAGAATATCACAGCTTTGTCTCAGCACTTCTATAGAGAGTAATGTCTTGTCCCTGCAGGTCATGCACATATCATATCATGACTCTATCTTCCTTCATGAAAGTGGTTTTATATAAATCCCTAATTTTTGATTCCTGCTGACATCTTCAGTCCCGAGCAGTCATTACTCAAGCGATTTAACTCTACATTCCTTGACAGTCAAATAGTCTCCAGGGCTGCGGCGTCTTTTCACTCGGGATTTCTCAGTTTAACTTTGCAGTGCTCCTTTTATTGATCATGCACGTTAACAATCACGACTCCCGCTAACTACTCAGGAAATCTAAAATGCATCGCTTTCTTTGCACCACAAGCATTTTCAAAGAAAGAGCTTCTACACAGCAGGTGTTTAGAAGAACAAGTGTAAAGGCTTTCACAGGCCATGTATCCTTATTGTGAGGGATTACTCTGTGCAGAAGAGTATCAAAAGAGACATTTGTTTATATGAAAAACCATAAAAACATCTTGAAGACAGAACTGCGAGAGAGACGAAGAACAAATACCTCAACTGAGCAGTAATGAGGTAAAATCATTGAGCATGAAACCCTGCTGAGACGGGGAGGAAAACAACATTTCCAATGTTTTTCCCGAAACAAAAATCCCACCCATGATTCAAAGTATCACAGAGACAGGAACGTATAAATATCCTAATATTGATATTTAGATGGTTGCTTTTCATTGCATCATTTATATCTCATTGTCAGCTTCTCTTCAATTCTTTCCATTTCCCCTTCTGATGATCTCTTAGTCTACCTGTCAGGCAAACACAGATTAGTGCTTCAGCAAAAACACATTAAATGTCTGCAGAGCGAAGGAAGTGACAGACAGTCAGTGTTTTATAGTCTGTGCTGCTTAAAGCTTCTCTGTTGAAAGCTACTTTGAGATTTTTGGTGTCGGCTGCTCCCTGCAGGTGGTGCAGGCAGGAAGGAAAAGTACAAAAAAAAATCTCGGTCTCATCGTAAAGCTTTTATTTTTCTCATGATATGAAGAAAAAGCACAGCGAGTAACATAAAAGCTTTCTGACTAACTGAAAACATGAAGTGTGGAAGATAAGTTTTGAGAGTGAATTTAACTTTGTATTCATATATACAGCAGCTGTTGAAATTATTTTCACTTACAACAGATGGATTTTAGTTCACTCTGAGGCTGTGCTTTGGCTGAGCTCTTATGTGTAGATGTGGAACATGTATGCCAGTCTTCCCAGTCAGTCTTTCCATATTCTGACACATACTGTATGGCTCTGACATTTTAAATTTCACAGAAGGTTCATCGTCCTCGTAGAAAAAGTGCTTCTTATAAATTAAAACCAAGTCCAAAAGTTTAGTTTAACTGGAACGAAGTTGTGTGTCGGTACACATCAATTCTGCATGTTTCATTTTTAATAAATTATTTTCAATATGGCAGAGAAGTATTTTCATAAGCACACAAATAACAATTTACATTTTTAAATATTTACATCCTCAAAATGACAGCAGAAAGGGAATAAAGAAAATCATAAATTGTTCCGTCTTCACATAGTATTGATCCACTGGTGCCGCTGGCTCAGAGGCTCTGTGTGTCTAATAAAGAACGGAGCTCTTGGTGAATCATCCCGCTCTGTCCTGTCAGGTAAGGGGCAGTTAGGGGCTCCTGCTAAATGAAATACTCCTTTTGGTTTTCACTGGGAGCGCTCTGTGAGTCCACCTGGCTGCTGAAGGGAAACTCATGGCCGTCTTCAGGCTGCGCTTCTTTGACTTCCTGGTTTCGATACGTCTCTTTCCTGCTGCAGATGAATCTGGCCATTATCGCCAATGCAGACACGGTGACAAAGATCACAACAGCGATGACCCCTGAACACAGAAATGCACAAAAATAATTTTGCTTCAAAATCATGTACATAAGCAACCAGGTTGTTGTCAGTCTTCTTATTTTCTTGCCAAGAGGTACATGAGAAGATCCATGCCACTTTTATATCAGTGCGTTAAAGACACTTTTTTTAAACTTCCACTAGCACAATGGAGCAGTTTTTCAGTGAGCAGGTCCTGTTGTGGATTTCTTTGACATGTGCACCATGGAAAGTACCAGTGTTGCCAACTCTTTTCCAATGAAGTAGTTAGCACAAACTCTAAAACTCACTAAAAGCCACCAGATAACATCATTCACCCATTTGCTTAATTATGACACATACGCTCAAATGCATATTGACGACATCATTGTGCATTGGGTGCAGCGAGGGAGAGATCAAGAAAAGCAGATAAAAATTCTCATTACAGGAACTGCATGTCTTTGAAACTGTGGTATGTTGGTGCTACATGTGAAAGGAGGGGGGGAACAGTGGTGAAGCAAAATGATCTTTATTACGGTCTGACAGAAACAAAAGCATTTTACAATTATGCTTAATTAGATTCAACAGAAGAATCCTCAACAAAGCATTTCATGAGCTGTGAGGTAAAATCACTGTTTCTTTCAAATGAGTCTGGTGACTGTGGACAGGGGCAGCAGCAAAATGTGTTTTAGCCATATAAGAATAGGGCCACCTTAAACAGTTAACATCAGTTTGAGTGTACACTATGTTTAGAATATTTTCACTGCCTTACCTCCCAATCAGACAGCCCTTTAATGCTCTTCTCAAAGCCGCAGACTCCATTGACAGAAACAGCAATTTTACCTCACAGAACACAGTCAGTCACTGGTCTTCTGCTGCCCCTTGATCAGTTAGTTAGTTTGTGTTATTGTGTGACTTTGGGAACTGACCAATCCGTGCAGGTTCTCTTGTCTGCTTCTTTAAACTGGAAGCGTGAGATCGATAACACACAATTCTCAGTGAAGGCTCAGTCACATGCAGTGCTGCTGTACAGAAGGAGAGTAGGGGAGAGACTCAGCAGAGGAGCTGTGGACGGTGATTACTCTGAGAAGCATGAATGGAAATGAAACACACTGTATAGTATATTTGAATATAATGCTTGTTGTTTCCCAGACAGTCTGAATAAGTTGCTAAATTTGTCACAAGCCGCTTTTTCAGAAATAAAGTCGCTAAGGGGGTCTGAAAAGTTGGTAACACTGGGTAACGTGATACACAATCAGTGGTTTGATTAGTCTGCTGATCAGCAGGTGCAGTAACACACCAAGAAACACAGCAGTGCACATGGAAAGGCAGGAAAGAAAATGATCAGCTCAATATGGGTGTAAACGTTGCAGGATTTATGATCAACTTTGTTTTATGAGGAAGAACATGGGTTCAACATGTTGTTAAGGCCTCAAGGATATATGCAACGTGTTTTGGTGAGAAACAATGTCAATGTCACTTTTGTTTGTGTGCAAGAAATCTTTACAGAGCACCTTTAAATATGGATCTATAGGCAGCTTGACTAGCTTAGCACAAACACTAGAGCCAAGGACAGTTAGCTTAGCTCTCTGCAAAGTTAAAAATAACCACCACCTCTAAAGCTCACAAATGAACAGACTGTATCATGCTTGTTTAATCCGTACATACACAGAAATGTAAAAATGACAATTTGTGGGTTTAGGGGGAGTTATGTGCTGTAACTATATTTCTTGGCCGACAAAAAACAGTGTCAAAACTATTCCTTTAAACATCATGTTAAGAAGAAATTCAGTGGGCTAGATTTCTGCTAGAAATGCCAGTAATACATGGCCAAGCAATTGGATTACTGGGTTTCTGACAGGGTTTAACCATGCTCACATTTGCATGAGAAAGACATCAAACAGGGGAAGTATCAATGTGGCAGCAGAGCTGAGGAATGACGACAAGATTATTACTTGTGACTGCACTTTCCGCTTTCCAAAATACTTAAAACCAAATGAAGACTGGAAAAATAAATGAAACAGCCATGAGGTAAAACTTCTCTCACTGCAGGGTGTGTACTCTCACTTAGCATTTAGCCCAAAGGCTCTGACCAAAACAAATAATAGTAGAAAAAAAAATTTAAAAAAAAAAAACCCAATGCTTTACGCCACATCATATCATTCAAACACAGATTTATTATTGGACTACCTTTTAAAGATGACAGCTAACTTAAATCCTTGATTGTTAAAAACTTTTTTTTACAGTTCAGACCATGTTCAATTACTTCAGACTATTTCTGTCCTCCAATGTGTCACATCGCAGAGTAAGACTGAATGATACCTGAATTTGTGCTGTTTTGAAACAATGTTGTTTTTGTCACTCCTCACCCTCCTGGAGTTTCATCTAAATCAAAAATAGCTCACCACAAATTGTCGAAAGAAACTGCAATTGCTGTGTAGACAGGGTGTGACTTCTGTTACATGTTTTTCTTTGTCTGTGATTTCCTCCCCTCAGAAACGGATTCTGTACAGGAGCCCTGAGACGCAAGCGAGAAAAAATTCTGCCGATCCATTTTCTCAGTCTGATCTATATTGTTTTCTCTCCTGTGTTTATGACTTAAGAACAAGTGAAAAACACGGTTTTGCCAGGATAATCTGTCTGAGTTCCTTTTTTTTTTAATATTTCTGAAACAGTTGGGAAAAAGTTTGGCCAGAACAATCTTTCAGAGTTACTTTTTGGCAGGATCGTTTGTTGCTGTAATACTTATAAAGTTCATATATTGTGTCTTAGCAAATTATGTTACATCGATGTCAACATTAATGCCTTTAGTCCCATTTAGAACACATGGGGTGATGCAGGGCGCCCAGTGGCTCACCTGAGGCCTGTACTATGAAACAAGTTAAACTACCCAGGGTACCTTTTTATTATCTGGCTTGACTAACCCCAACATTGGCCGTCTGGATAACCGGTACTATAAAGTTTGTTATCAACTAGTCCAGTCAACTCTGGGTTTTCCTATCCAGCCACGAGCGCATTCATGTGAAAGAGACAGGGGTGTTAATTATGAATGAAGATGTCTTCTTCTATGATCATCCCCTGAGGAACCCCTGAGGAATTTGCAATAGTTTTTGATGCCAGTCCAACAGGCACTGTAATGCTTCTTAGAAATATATTGGAAGAATGTTAGGATGCAACCGCATAAATACCTAATTGTGAATAACGTTAAATTGTTCATAAATATTACTCTGCCAATCTGATTGTTTGTTGCAGACATTCACACAAACTGCCCTCTCTCTGCAACAAACAATCTGAAACTATTTTACACCTTTACTGACTTTTTTCTCACACCAAGAAATTCTGGAAGGACAGATTTATCGTGGACCATATTTCTAAAGACTTTACATTGTTATGGGAAAATGTGGTGTTTGGTTTCCTCAAGTACCCTCAAGTGTCTTATCCATAAATGTAAGAATGTAAGTTTAGCAATAATAAACCTCATATTGGTGTTTTTCTGAAGGATGTTGAACACTACATGAAACTACTCTTGGGTGTAACCCACAAAAAGGCTATTAAGACACTTGACATCTGTAGGTCTTATACTATCTTTGTGTAGTATGTTATTCCCCTGGCTTTCTGTTATTATTGTGTTTGTATACTCCCAACTGTATACTGAGTCCTGTTACACTGTGTTGTTTAAATAAAGATATGTATATATATCAAAAAAATCCCCGTCAGCTGAGACTTACATTATATGTAGGCATCACTATGCTATGTGTGACATTAGTATAGAGTATTTTTTGCTTTTAAGTTGGATGATGATGAAAGTACTCTTGAATATGTCACATTAAACAATTTAAAGTGCCAGACTGTTTCTGCACCAAAGAAAATGGCTGCATTTATAATAACAGAAGCCAATTAAAAATGTGTGGATTATTTTTCCAATAAAATATTATTTTTTTCCCCTAGTTCTCATCACACAGGTGTCTCATGTTATTCTGAGTTGCAGTGATGGAATCAGAGTGTAAAATTAGCAACACTGTCAGCTATCACTGCGGGCTAAAATAAACTTTGCATAAGTTAAAATACTGCTAAAATCATGTGTTTAGTGTTGTAAACGATCTCTCCATTTGATAGATGCTCTGCTTTAAAACCAGTGGAAATAGAGCCGTGGGACAATGAAATTATTCTACTGACCTATGACAGCATATAGGCTCCTCTTTTTTACCTGAGACTCCGGATATTTGTTAATGGATACTGTTTTCTTCAGTGACCTGATTGCTCAGAGGTCAAGATGTTGACAGCCTGTGATCCGATACTCTGCCCCAGAGCAGGTTAGCTGTTCAGCATGTTACCACGGTGATTTTTCTCGATAAAATGATAATCGGCTTCATAGTACTGAAAACCTAGAGTTAACCCTGAAGTTACCTCGCTAACTCCAAATTCTTTTTCGTAGTGCAGGCCTCTGGTAGAGCAGGCACCTTATGTACTTAGGCCTGGGTTTAATTGCAACCTGCAGCCTTTCAGTGCGTGTCATCCCCCCTCTCTGTCCCTTTTCTGTCCTATATCATCAAATAAAGGCAAAAAAAATATTCAAAAAGAAGTGCCACATTTCAGCATTTAGTGACTGAAATGAGTACTGCAACAACAAACACTTAAAAAATGATACTGACCCAAAAAAATCGGAGCTAAAAATGAATCACATTTTTTTTTCTCACTCGCCTCTCGGGGCTCCAGTAGATTATGTGTCTCATCTGTAAAAGTTTTCCAAAGTTGTATTTTAGGTATAAACAAACTTTATGTTTAACTTTAAAGCTACTTCAAGGTGGTTTTCAAAATGGAAACACAAGCCTAAAATCCTTTCTTCTGCAAAGTTTTCATGTGTGAATTTAGACCCAAAATCTTCTCATTAAACAGCCAACCCATTACTGTTCCTCACTGCCTCTTTTTCTCTTCAGCTTCCAAGATCAAAATTTCTTTCTCCTCACTTGCATCCTGCACAAAAACTTTGAATATGAACCTTCTCACCCCTCCTTACAATATCAGACTCCCCAAAATATAAAGTTTTGAATCAGCTGTAATGATATTTGAATGAACTTTCATTATTCCTGCAAAGATGGATTGCATTACCTCCGATTAGAGCTGAGTCATTCCTGATGGCGTTCACCAAAGGCTGACCTGGATCCACTGAACCAGGTTGGTCTGCAGAGACAAAGACGGAAAAGGAAGAGTAATAAAAAGCAGAAAAGATGCTCCAGTAAAGTGAGGTATACGATACAGAGAAGACTGCAGAGCAGAGAAGTGGGAAAACAAGAAAGTCTGAAAAAAAGTGAAATTTAATTTACAAAAAGAAGAAAGATGATGTAAAGGAGTATATAGGGATAAATAGAGTGACTGTGAGAACCATCAGTCAGGGCAGACAGTGCTTGTTGAAAGCTTCAGCACAGTCTCAAAGGACTTCACTACAGTTGTCTGACTAATCTCATCTGTCGGAGTGCCATCAGTCTGTCTGCTTACCGCGGAGGATGTTTAATGAGCCTATAAAAAGTCTAATGAACAGCCCTAAGAATACAATTAAAAGCATACCAGAAAGGAGGAGAAGTGGGTGGTTATTTAATAATGTATATGGTGTATATAGTATAGTATGGAATATAAGGGCTGAGATTGCTCCTTGTACCTGATAAGGAGTGTGTGGTTTCTGCAGCGTAGGGATTGGCTGGAGAAGAGGAAGCACAGCTCGACTGAACCAATGGGCCGCTGACAATAACAGGGCTGTCAGGGTGCAGCAGAGCAGCTTTCAGAGGACTGATGGAGTTAAAGCAAACACCTGACAGACAGCCGGTGAACCCAAGAGAGGCCAAGCCGGCCAGCTCCTCATCTAACTCATCAGACTCTGAAGGCGGAGAGAGAGAAACACAGAGACAAGAATGGCTGAGAGCGAAGACACATTTGTTATCAGCCAGTTCCAATTACACATTTTAAATATGGCAGTGATAAAAATTTATCTTGATGAGACCACGGTCGCGATGATAAGTGGTATCTATCTTTGTCTTAATCATTTTAACATCCATTTTTGAAACCGCAGAAGAGGATAAACCACCTGGAAATGATTATGCCAAACAAAACAGGGATAGTGGATGATACTGAAAAACCACACATCATATTCACAAGCAAAGTTTTTCAGTGTTGGAGGGCATATTTTGAAACAATTATTCCTACAATGTTCATGCATGCTAACTGCAGTATGGCTAAAGTATTGGAAGGTTAGGCACCTAAAACACGTGTGTGGGTAACATCAATTCTGCACAGGCTAAAAAGCAGGGCTCGAAACCAAGCGACAATGAATAAACAACAATATAAAAACATCAATATCTGTATCAGCTATTGGCCAAATCGTTGAACATCGGGATCTATATATCTATCCTTTACTAATAATACATGGTACAGTGCACTAACAAGGCACCAATATTTAGCCTGGACTTTGTTCATTAATCGAAGCAACTGCAGCTAGCTGTGTCTACTTCCTTTATTCTAAGTTTAAAATCATTTAACAAGATAAAAGTCTTGCATTGGAGCTTGGCCTGAAGATTGTTCTAGGACTCGGAAACATAGTAGAACATGCTTGTGTTGCCAGCCTCTGTGCTGGTGAAAGGCACTTTCAACTGAAGCCATTTGTGCAACCTGAGATTATGACTGATTCGCACGGATAGAAACTTAGTTAAGTTGGAAATTTGCCTGTGATGATCTTACAGACTTTAATGTACCAGTGCTAAAAGCTACACAAAGTGATAGATGACCATCCCGCCATGCTGTGTATAAAGTACAACACTCGGTGCGGGGGCGGCAGTAGCTCAGTCCATAGGGACTTGGGTTGGGAACCGGAGGGTTCGAGTCCCCTTTGGACCAAAATATGGAGCGTGGACTGGTGGCTGGAGAGGTGCCAGTTCACCTCCTGGGCACTGCCGAGGTGCCCTTGAGCAAGGCACTGAACCCCCCAACTGCTCGGGGCGCCTCACCAAGGGCAGCCCCCTCACTCTGACATCTCTCCACACAAATTTAATAAAGAATATAATAAAAATAATATATGTAGAAAAAGAAACTGTGCAACATGCATCATAACATCAAAGTCAAATCTGTTCTGTACTCTTGCAGTTTGTCATGTTACAGTAAGTAAAGGTTGGCACTGGACATGAATCTTGTCCTACAGATTCTACCAATATGAACGTTCAATACTATATATAAAGTACAGAACATCCAGTTTGAACAGGTTTTCTTTTTTTAATATGTCAGTGCATTAATGGACTGGTCTCATTCAATTGAATGAGAGGGGCTGATTTTACATTGTTGGTAAATACAATGAACTAGAAGGCCAAGCAGCTGGCTTGTTTTGTTGAAATGGAAGCTACCTTTTGATCATAAAAGGCCACATGTAGCAGCTTTAATAAACAGCCGGTAAGCAACAAGTCTAAAGCCATACTAGTGGAAACTAAAATGTTAATTACACTGCACAATATGAAAGTGCTGGGAGAAACAAACTGCATTACATTTACTTTTCTATTTTTGGAGTCCTCACAGTAATGGTGGTGCTAGAGGGAAGGCAATTGGGTCATTAAAATCAAAAGGATTTATTCCCTTTGGAGCCAGAATATGCTCAGCAAATTTCATGGTAATCTGCCTTTTACATTATTAAATTTCTTGTGTACAAGTGCAAGTTTTAGTCTGAAAGTGTTGTGGGAGGAAAAGGCCTAAGGGGTCAAGAAAACATTAGGATTCGTCCTCTGGGGACCAGGAGTATCCTCAGCAAAGTGTAATAAATGTTTGGCCATTCAGTTTTCAATTAGCTCAGTGAACCAAAGTGTTGGTCAAGTGAAAATGTTTACCTTACGGGAATGTGACTACTTTTAGGTAAAACTTGTGAGACTTTGTTACTAGATTACCTCTCGGCTGTCAACCCATTTGCCAAAAGAGATGTTAGCACTGAACTTTTCTCCAAACCACAGGCAGATATGTTACATTTGCACATTACTATAGCAGATAAGTTAAACATTTACGTTTTAACAACACTGTAGCTAATGAGCAGTTAGAATTACAATTGAAAACCACTTTATTATGGTCAGATGGAAAAGATCATGTTTTGGCTTAAAAAGCACTGTTTAGGGAGCACAATCCTGGCAGGAAAAGCAGCAGTGTCTCGGTTAAAAAAACAACTGCTTTTCGGGTCACTATCCCAAAGAAAAGCAGCAACCTCTCATTAAAAAAACAATCACTTTTTGGGCCACTTCTCAGGCTACTATCCCATCTAGAAAAGCAGAAATGTCTTGGTAAAAAAAACAACCAATGTTTGCACCTAAAAAGCTGCTGGGAACAAAGCAAGGACTCGCTAATTCACAACCGTTTTTTTTTTGGCCTTGTGCAGTGGTCTGCAGCTTGGCACGCATCTCGCCTCTGAAACACGCCATCCACAATCCTCTCTATCTCCGGATTACAAAGTCAGCTTATATATTATGTCCGTCACTTTACAAACGTTGATATGATAGATAAACAATATACGCATCTAACATATTTGAGTTTTGCAGAAATGCCAACATTTTCTTCTGGCGACAGGCCTGCAGCTATCATCACAAAACTGTGGACAAAAAACATGTAAACACCTCCTTATATTAGGAAACTGCCAGTGAGTCTCTCTGGTGGCTAATGTGTCCACGCCACTATTTGTGACAGCAAGTGCTAAGTAAAATCTTAAGCAACTATAAATGTCAGTGTGAACTACAATTATTCCTGCAGTGCAATTTGATTACACAGCACATCATCACTACTCATCTAAGTTATTATCGCAGAGAAGCAACTTTTCACCACACAAATGGGACACTGCAGAGTGGCCTGGCTGGAGAGGGCTGTTTATCAGCTGTATATTTGATCAGGCTTTGATTAAGTCTTAAATTAAGTGTGATCCTCTTGTCAGCGGGAAATAATTTGACTCTGAATTATATGTTTTATGACATGCATTTATCTGTTGAGCAACCTGCAAAATAGAGAGCAGCTGATTAAGATGGGAGGAAAAAGTTAATAACACAACAGATTTAAGTCACAGCTGTAGCGTTAGATTGTCTAACACCGCATTACCATATTTTGTCTCTGTTGTTTAATTAAGAAGACAAACTTTTTCTCTATCTCTACCTTTAACCATTTTTTCTTCTAACAAATAAAGCACACGCAGGCAGGGGAGTTTGTCTCTGAGGTATTTTAAGCAATCTGCTTCACCCAGCATGCATGTGCACGTTTAACTGTCTATATTAAATAGGTAAAGTTATCATCTTTATGAAAAAGGAATATTCAAAAAATATGGTCATAGAAAAAAACTAAAATTGAGCATACAGGATCCTACAATGTAAAGTTTGCCTTTAAATGAGGCTAAGTGAAACAATACAGTATGTAAAACTAACAAATGTAAGATGATGTGGTAAAGTTTCTTATATCATCCAGTACTGGTGGTATTAGGTGTTAAAAGTGCTGAATAGAGTCTGTGCCTTCTTCACTAAGAAGGATTTGGATGTTTGTGCGAGCAGTCAAACCCCACACTGACAGCACTGGCCTTGTATCCACGAACTGACGATTACTGTCCACCCCCGCCCAACTGCTGCCCTTTACCTCCACCTCTCTCTGTATCACTATCTCACTCTCCCTCTCTCTTCATCACCCCCCCCCTTCCTCTCTCTCTGTGTGAACAGCTCAGTCTCTCCATTCTTTCCTGGTCCATTAGTTAGGCTGATGGATGACAGCGCTGGCAGGGAGTGACAGTATATCAACTATCTTGCTGCCTCTCTGATACTGATATGACTGCCAGCGTCCTCTGGCTCAGCAGAGAGAAGGCTGGGTCACACACTAACACGGCCTGGGTCAACAACACAAAGAAATGTTCAGGAGCTGAACGTAAAAAGAGCACCGCCATCAATTTGGACTTGTTTCTGTCATGTGCACCTTACATGTGTGTGAGTAGAGCGAGCAATTTTGTGTTTTTCACACTCAAAACAATGTAAAAATAAATGCCCAAGTAGTTATATGAATACAAATATAATTTGAAAAAAATATAATGATTAGTGTGGTTCCAAAATAACAGGAGGGTCTGCTTTAACCTCATTTGTAGCACGACAGTGATTCAGTCAAGCGCCTTGGTCTGTACGCATCACTGAAGTGCCACAAATGACGTTAAAGTACACCATCTCATGTAATATTGCAATTCTATTGAGATACATAGGGTCTGACTAATAACTGGAAAAGAATCAGTTATGTCAGTAGACTCTCATATGTAATGAAACCTAATTTACTACTCGTCCGCCAGCCAACATGAGCCTAATACTTTCTAGAGATCGTCTGATTTCCCAACACAAATAAATACCCAATATATAAACACAAAATGACTTAGCTAGCTCAGCCTTGTTACGACTAACATATCTTCTTTCTTTCATATACAGATTTAGCTCCTACATCCACAAACCTCACATGTATTTTTAAATTAGTAGCACCTTGTCACCAACACCAGCTAATGGAGGACGCCAGAGGGTGCCAGACGTTTTCAATAACTCAAGAGCATTCGGCCTCTAGTTTCCCGGCGCAGCGCAGTGTGGCGCAGGGTGGCGAACCCCGCGCAGAGCTAGTTTTGAGCAGTGCAATCCGTGGCGCGCTCAGTTTGGTAGTTTGGCAGACCGAGGTGCACTGAGATGGGTGTGGCAGCGCAGCAGGGGGAGGTGTCGACAGATCCAGCTTGGCGCATTGACAGTTTCGTGCCAAAAGGCTTCGCCGAAGGTGCGCTAAAAGCTCGCCAGCTGAAACCAGGTCTACTGTCAGCGCAGGCGGAGCACAGCCAGTGTAAGCCAAAGTTTGGCTGACCAGCGGACAGTGCGCACACGTCACCAAAACCTCACAGGCAGGTTTCCAGAATATCAGGCACATTAACAATGTAATAAATACCCAAAAAACCACTATTCAATGCAACTATCTGCAATCAGCACATAAATGTATCTCTATATCGACTGTCCCGTCACATCTGATGTCAGATCAAAGGGGACTGGCACCGTTTAGCACGCGTAATGGAAACCCAACCTGATTTGATTAACACAGCTGCAAACTAATGAGTTCACATCCCTCTCAGCCAACCACAAACAGCCACAGCATCAGATAGGGAGTATATATTCAGCATCTGTCATCTTAGAAAAGTCAAAAGAAAAGAAACAGAGTGAGACTGCGAGAGAGAAAGAGAGAGCGCCCGCACACGAGAGAAACGCAACATTGATTTACAATTGTGGTGACCTCCTCCCAGGCTACCTTTGCATCATCAGCCCGTGGAGGTCTGCTTGCAGTTCCATATATTCGGACACAGCGAGCTTGGACCTCCCAGACCAAAACATCAGTTTCCTCCTGGGAGAAGTCCACAACATGTTTTTATCTAACAAAATATTCTCCTTCAATCCTCATTTGATAGCATTCAGCCTTTCAAAACCAACTTTTTCACTGCATTCACACTCGCTGAGGCGTACACCTGCACTGACGGGGCAGTCATGCAGCAAACAGCACCATAACTTATATCAATCAAAGAAAGTTAATTCATAAAAAAGACTAATTAATTTAATCTGATGAATCACTTAGCCTTTATAAGTATCTTATCTATCTCTTTCTGCAAATGCAGTGGTTAAGTTCACGTTCTGAAGTTGTTTTAAGTATTCTATTAATGTTACCATACTTGTTGCAAGAAACAGGCTATCATGAACATTTGTCAGATCATTTGCTTATAAGATATCGTAATAACCCATTTTTAGGTAGCTTTTTGCTCATCAGCTTTTCAGGTCATTTGAAATAAAGATCAAAAATGTTTCAGATATAGTAGTTTCATAATGTTGACTGCAGTGTGCTTATACTTACATATTAGACTTTATAATATTTTCAGGATTGTAAAGAGTTTCCTATAGATTTTAACCCATAGGCGTGAATACACACAGAGTGTGTGTGTCCAGGATGTACAAAGGCAACAGCAGCTGCAGCCTCATCTTCTTCCAACCATTCATCAAACTGAGTCCACTGTAAAGATCAAAATTATTAACAAAACGATCCATTTTTTTAGCAGGTTTGTGGCCCTCTGGTATTTGCTCTGGCAGTTACAGTGTTGCCATGTGTGCAATATTTTTAGTGATAAGCCAGGTGTGCTTTTATGCTGATTTGAGCACATTCAAGATGTCTTGTTGACCAATCAGATTGCCTGGTCGAACTATTTGTTATATTATCGCTTATACTCTCAAGTTGGGATATTCAATAGATTCTATAGATTCTAGTTTTGTAACTGATTCTACTGAACTATTTTGCTTCCTTCTTTTTTCAATTTGTGGCATATTATTTGAGAAAGAAAAACACTGTATACAGAGTTAGACATAACTTAACAGCCAGTTGGCCCTATGATTGGCAATCATTTCAGCGTGGGTACCCTGCTTCAGTTACCAGTGGTTATCAGCCTCATAGATATGGGTTAGGCGTCTGCTAAAAAATTACATTTGAACTGATCCTGGTACCTGTAATTCAGTACTTTATTTTCTCTTCTATGATACCAAATATGTAATAATCTCAAAGACCACTCGAGATCAAACGACAATACAGCCATTTAATGGGCTGATAACCTACTAGTAGGTGAAGCAAGTGTTTTTTAACTCATATCTATGAGGCTGATAACCACTGATGAGACCCATTTAATAGAGTGATAACATTCAAAGCAGGTGACAATGATAGGCTCCAGCTCCAAGAGAACCATGACAGTAGGTTAGAAGATGGATGAAGACATGGCTGGATGGATAAATGACAAGATATTGTGTAATTCTTCAATGTCTCCATAAACAATCAATAAAAAGTATTACTACACAAAGCAAACTGAATGTTTTGTTCATCTGCTCTGTTCTGAGGTTTTATTGCACCTGTTTCAGTTAAACTTCTGTTAAAACAAACCTCACACTGCTGGTTGGCCTTCCACCAGTTAACGACTGAATGACTTTTACTGTGAAGCAGTTACAGCTTCCTGTAGCTTTCACATTAGTGAATGCTAAGTCCTTGATGTTGAGTGGATGAATTAATGTAAATGTGGCAATTGCACAGCAGTAGTCTCTAATTAGGTGATGAAACAAGGTAAAATAGAAGTTACCTGCTTGTAACTCCTGTTCTATTACTATGTGCACAGCCCATTGTCGTACAAGCAGTTACTGTACGGACGATGATTGAGGCATGATGGGCCTAATTACATATGAATTGAGAACCTCTTCTGATACCCAATTATATATCAGCCCCACATTTCTAACAGTATTTTTGTCTCAGATGATGCTAGCCAAAGGTAAACATTCGAGGCAACAGAGAAAAACATAAGGGCATCACAGCTTTGGTGCAAAGTCTTTCCCCTTCATTAAGAGAAGCTTCAGGTAGACAGATCAGTCCTGTAGAGGACGACAGGAGTGATGTGAAAGCAAAATGTACTGTCAGGCGCAGAGGGGTTGAACTGTACCGTCTGACTTCCTGGTTTAGTTTGACCCCTCCCACAGCAGCGGAGACTTATTGGTTGTTATGCTGTATTGCAGGGTGCTGACTCCAATCTTCCAAGTAATTTGTTCTTTTCAATCTCTCCTCATTACCATACAAAGTGAAGGACCTTTTCTAAAGTTATTACCATTACAGCTGTCTGAAGCTGCGCTCAGCTAGACAGACATAAAGACTGGATTACTCACCGCTGCGATAACACGGATAAAAGTTCACCAGCATATACTGTATTTTCTGAACTACTGCATTAGTGAAAAACAATGGCATTTGCACAAATACTGTACCAACCCATATGGCTCTAAAATGCATCTAATGCCACATAACAATGACTTAAGTGGGAGGCACCTTTAGACTTTTCTAAGGTTCTTGTTTTGCATCTCCGCAGCAAAGTGCTGTCTTTGTGACCATTTGAATATGGATGTCAACTTGTCTTTAAAAAGCACCACAGATGTTGCTCAGACTGCTGTTTTCCCTCTGGTCCACCAAACATGATGAATAGAAAACAGCAGAAAGCTCTAGCACAGTGTTTGTCGCATTGGGCCCAAACATCTCAGTGCTGTTATTCAAATGAGTCTGTTTAAGTGCTGGAGTCTGTGCGAAGAGAGCCTCACTTACCCTGCACTCTGCCCAGAATGAGTGATTTGATGCTGTTAAATTCCACATCAGATGTCAAGTTGAAGTCCTCTCCGGCATTCTGGTCGATCTGAAAGATAATGCATGTCACATGTGCAAAGGTAAAAGCTCAGCAGGTAAGAAGCGCAGACTGATAACAGCGACAAACTGTCAAGGACAGCTCTCTATTGTTAAGTGTTTAAACAAAAGCTGCTCTGTGAAGAAACTTCGACAAATGGCTGCAGAGAAGCAAGCAATTAAACATGAAAAGCTAGCCGGAGGCTGAACTTCTGGTCTGACCTGCATATTTAAATGGGATTAAACCCTAAAGCCGGAAACCAATAGACCCGTGAGATGCAGTGGTTCGCAGTAGCTGAGCAGAGAAATGGAGCGGGTTCTGAGGTGGTAAATGCCTCAGAGAGAGACACTCTTTTATAATAACACACAGGGTGTGATGTATTGCTCGCAAACACAGAGATTTGGGCTTTAGTGAATCATTTATCAATAAGACATCTGCTAATGTTGATCAACCTGAGAGTAAAGTGGAGCCAAAAAACAGGGAAAAAGAAAGTAGCTTGATAACAGAGAGGAAATGTGGCATTTATGAATTTATATTCAGCTTGGGTTCTGGACACTTGTGGACGGAGACATGTCTGGACATTTTGGTGCCATGAGTTATATATCCACTGGCAAGCCTGAGGGCATTGATCTTTCAATTTTATACATATTTTGTTATATGATACTATAATAATTTGACTTTCCAACGCTCATTCTTATAACATAAATTAAAACTGCTGGCTGATGTTTCTGTTAGGGCTGGAAATCACCATTGATTTTTCCAAAGCAATTCAATTCTGTTTCAAAAGGTCCCAGGTCCTAACTGATATTTGATACAATATCAACTTGATTAGACACATTTCAGTTACAATATCATTTATGTTTGAATATGAGATTCACAGAGCATTAATGCTGTAAATTGTACAAGTAACCCTCTAATCTGGTGTATTATCAAAAATACTGTTTACATTAAGACTTGATCCTAAAGCACTTACACTGATGTAAAATATTCAGGTAAAATGTAGCTTGGTTCTAGTATATTATTGAGGCTTCAGAAGCCATCATTTTCAATAATACTGTAAGGGCATATACCGTAAAACTTCAAATAGTAGCCCGAGCTATTATTTGCTTAAATTACTGAAATCAACAGGCCTATATTTGGGACAGGGGTCTATATGGGACACGACTTTAATTCCTTTTAAACAAAACTGCTTCTCAGCAAACATGGGAAATACAATGAAATTGTTTATTTGAACTAGTAAAAGTGTCACTTGTATTAAAAATTAGGCTTTGAATAACCTATCAATTCTGAATCATTCATTTAATCTAGCCTGGAGAAACAGCACATCAGAGAGAAAGAGAGTTATGACACTTGTTTTATGGCACTTGAGTATTATGGCACAGGGGCATAGTGACACAACACCACTTTATCACAATATTCATAACTTAAATTAATTTTTATGAAAAACCCTTTTGATTATTTTGATTGGTGGTCCCCTACTGACTAAAGGAATATGAATAACTTACAGGGTAATCGAGGAATGGACATATTCTGACTTGATGACAGCTTCAGAGGTAATGAGTCACCACTTGTTCTTTTGTCATGTCATTCTTTTATCATCTCCATATTGACTAAAGCAGCTAACTAATGTTAGCTGAAGTGGGTCACCAACAACCTGGTTTGATACCTCCAAAGAATTTGGACTGAACTGAACTGCTTGGCAACCACACGAGGCATCCATTTAAGACAAGCCAAAATGTGTAGCCACAATGGGCTAGTAAAAGGGCTTAAGCATTTAATTTGGACTAGGCTATTGATTGCAGTTTTACAGTATTCTTGCACATTGAAGGTGCGACAGCCTCAGTTATTTTTTGGACTTGCTTAAACATAAATGCCTTCTACAAGGAGTTTGTTTTGGATTGAGATATGTTTTATTTCCACAATACTGCAACTTAATTTTGCACATCGTACATATGGCTTTGTTTTTGTTCAGCTCTTCTCTGTCTTCATAGTATTTAAATCTGAAACGTAACCAGACATCTGTCTAAGGCTTGACGGTGCCCTTGCGGGAGCAGATCTTATTGCACGAAGAACCAAAGGCTGCCCATGCAAGACTAACCAGAATGAAGCTTCAGGCATCAACAGGAAAAGACAACAACATCCGAGATATACGAAACATACAAATGTAACATATCTATGGTTTGAACCTACACTGCCAACATTTATTCTGGTGATTTAATGTAATTTATTACTTATCATTTTATCTTTTGTTTAGGATGCACTTGTGCACAAAGTTTCCTGTTGAGATAAGTATTATCTAAGTTTGGATCATGTTATAGTTTGACTGCATGGAACATAAGTAAGCTAGGCACTCTTATAGCTGTATACATGATTTATTTGCAGTGGGAGAATGAACCGCATAGCCACAAAATAAGCACCTGGCAGCAGTTTCAATTAATAATATGACAACGAGTGTCAGCCTCTGAAGTGTCCCTATGCAGTCTGCCTCTCATTATCAGGTGTTTAGTGCAGTGTGAGCAGTGGGTTTATTTAACTATGTAATGCACAGTGTGGATGTCACTCTGACAGTAAAGTAAGATTGAGCATCTGAAATTAATTTCAAAAGATTTCTTCCTTTTCTTTTCTTTTTGTTCACAGTGTTTGTTGTAATGATGCGTGTGACAGTGTGCATTATTTGTTACGTGTGTGTACCTGAACAGAGACAGTGTCTGCCAGTCTCCTGACGATCACCGTGTGCAGACGTCCATCAGCCAAGCTCGTGACTCTGCTCCCCAGCACCTCTGCATCTCTGCTGCTGTGCAACTTGTACCTCAATTCCAGCTCATCTTTGCAAACACAGAACAACAACAGAATCTTAGTTTGAATTGCAAGCATGTACAAAATCAAAAGGAATTAGGTTGCAACACTGAAACTTCTTTGTCACTGATGGAGCATTGTTTGCATGTATCACACATTAGTGTCAGATTATACCTATTACATAGAAGGGTAATTGAACTTCTACAGAGAGAGGTCACTGAATAATAAATATTACTCATGAGATATAAAACAGATCTGATGCAAGCTGTTGCTAAAACTGAAGTAAACTATATATGCTATGTAAACTGTTAATGTTGACCACCATCAATACAGCCCATGCCTTGGACAACACAATTTTAAGACAACCTGATCTTATCTTTAAATGTTGCTGATGGGTACAAACATGTCTGAAATTAAAGACAAAATTTAATTAGTGTCTGATAATTAATTGAGCACTTAAGCCTAAAAAAAAGTCCACATTATTGGCTCTGAACATCTAAGAAGACATATATTAACTCCTTCAAAGAAAGAACATTTCATCCAGATATCTGAATGTTCCAAGATACCAGCTGCTGAATTAAGAAGCTACAAACCATTTAATACTTTGAGGATTAATACTTTATCTCTATGAATAACACCCCATGATATGAAATTAATTTCCCCCTTTTTTTTTTTTTTACACTTAATAAATTCCATAACGCTGAGATAATTTGAATGCTCTGCGATGTCTGCAGACTTCACAGATGAGCAGGAATGATAGGAAATAATCTTTTTTTTAAAGATCCAAACACTTAATACTTAATGCCCTTTTCAGTTTTTTTTCCTAATTATGACTCACTGTGTTACTTTTTTTCACAGCTTAATAGGGAGCAATTCCCCGATCATAAAAGCACATCTTGATAATAAAAACAATCTCGCAGAGGGCAAAAAGTGCTTCAGACTCTCAGCAAGTGACTTAGATAGAAGAAGTTTCTTTGTGTGCAGCAGCTGAGGATCCTGTTACTGCAGCCACAATAGAGAGAAACATGAGAGGAGCCTTTGTGGAGTATCCAAAAGAAGCCTCTCACTGGGATTTAATTAGATACTTCAGCAAGAGTGCAGATACCTGATGATGACTTAATCAAATATTCAAAACCTGCTATCCCTCGACTTTCTCTCAGTCATTAAAAAAGCTAAATGTTACTTTTACTAAGAGCAGAATTTGTAAAACGCACAGCCAAACACACACAATAATGATATCAAAAGTGCATTTCATATAATGGATTAAAGGATGCCACCCAATATGTTAATCAAGGGTTGCTAATTATTGCCGTGATAATAGTGAATTGAGTTCAGAATTATAAAAGAAATCTCCGACCCCTGAGCTCAACTTCACAGTAGTAAAAAAAACAACAACAGGGACTTCAGTCGTATTTACAAGTTGCAGACAGTGGATAATGGCAAAGCCTATTGTGCTATGCAGGAAAGCTGGCAGTGCTCCCTGCCAACTGGAGCTCTGTAAAGCTCTACAGTGAAACGAGTGATTAAAATTTGAACACAATAAATAATCACAATGGCGACAACAAGGGAAGGAGGACCCCTGCTGAAAAACAGAATTATCATTTAATAGTAACTGCACCAAATGTTTTCTTTGAACCTGACATCGTGCATAACAATTAGCCTGGCTGTGTGGCAAAGGAGGCAGCAGAGGATGATAGGATGAATGCAGAGGGAGACAGACATGGAGTGAGAGGAGAGGTGAGCATGAGCCAATGCAGGAATTAAATCTGTTCAAACCTCATTGTCCTCACCATGACTGTTGATGAGCAGGGCCAGGTATTCCCTGTAGAAAGAGTTGACGTAGAGTAGCAGAGCAGGACTCTGACTGGTCCTGAAGCTCAGGGAGATGTTTTCTCCTCTCAGCGTCACGTCAGAGTAGATGGAGGAAGGTGAGGTGCTGCTGTTCCTGCTCAGTTCATAGGGCTCCTTGAGGTTGTAGACAATGGATGTAGACGACATAAAGCTGGCTGAGACCTCTGAAAGTTAAAAAGTTACTGTGTTAGGATGAATCAGTGGTGGAGCTGACTGGTGAACTTTGTATGTAGGGCTTTCATTACAATATGTCCCTCTCTAACTACCTGTCGCTCTCTGAGAGGTCTAAATGAAGGAATAACTTTTAAGTTTGCTTAATTTGGTAAGGCTGAGGCAAAAATACTTTTCTTGTTTTATCCACCTTATTCCTGAGGGTGCTACTGCAGAAAAGATTATGGGTAAAACCTCCAGGGAGATAGTGGAAGTAGTTAGTCGCATTGACTGTTTGTCTCAGTGGCTAATCTTGGTGGCTAGCTGCAAACGATGGTTCTTTTTGAAAGTAATTTTCCTTCAATTCAGCAAATATGGCTTCATTTTAACAGATAGTAAACCAACGTTAAATTAGCATTTTATTAAATGTCCCTGTGGAGCTCTGGTACCTGTCGTTATGTCTACATCTGTAACGTTTGTAGCAACCAGACAAAGCTAAATTTGTTGCTTCAACTACAGTGTCAAACATGCACCCAGAACAAAACGGGATTGTTTCTCTACCCAAAGGTCCAGTTTCCATTGTCTACCGACAGAGACAAATAGGTTTTTAAAAACTAAAACGCATCTTTCCTTACTGAATCAATACAGGACGTAATCTGTACTGTATTTTTGTGGACAATGAATACACTATGTTTCACATGCTTAGAATGACATAAGAAATAATAAAATCAAAGTTTTAAGAGCAGAGAAGTATTAAATCAGAATTTGCAGACGAAAATGACACACAGAATGACAGGTCTGTAACTCAGTGTTAGCACATCATGTTCCTGTCTGACTGTATTCTCATCCTGCATAGGAAAATAAAGTAGTAGCACACCTTGAATTATGTGTTCAGTCATCTCAGCTGAGAATGTGTTACTGATTTACTGTACTTCTTTCATATCACATAAAACGAATGGCCAAAGTCATTTATTTCACTACTTTACATTCCTGGTATAACTGAGGTCTGCTGCTAAAGTCAGCGTTGTGTTTCACTCAGTAGAACTCAAATTTAATAAATCAGGAGTTATAAAATTGTGTAAAATGTGTTGTTAAGGCAGACAGGCAGATAATTAGCTGGGAAACATCATGTTTATTCACTTCACATGGAGCTAGAATTAATACTGAATTATGTTAAATGTTTGCTGAATGTGTTAGTGTCTGTTTATGAGTCACAAGAAATCATAATCGTCTATTGAAGTAGATGTTTACCGTGAACTATCTTGGGCTCCGTTAAATTTAACGATATGCAAACGGAGCAAGGCAAGCTAATCGCTAACACACTTGTTTTAAATGGAAACAACCAATGCTTTGAGATGGCTGTCAGAGATATTACAGGTAATATCATGTTATCTCGTCTAAGGTGACGCCGGTGGTGTGTTCCACGTGTTTTATTTCCAAATCACTCCAAAAAGTGTTCAGTTACCAAAGCCAGTTCTGGTTCGACACTGGAAGTTGCACCCATGATTCATGCAGGGTATCATGGGGGCTAGGGATAAGGTGGATATGTTTAATGTTCTGGAAATAAAATAAAATGTATTTACAGTTGAAAGAATATCAGCAGATCTTTTAACCACATGTACTGTATTAGTATTTCCTTAATATGGACTTTGGATACACCAAACAACTGTTGACTTTTCAGCTCAGCCTAATTTGTTGCCAATTTCATGTAAAAAACCAAAAAACCAAAATGTGTTTTGTTGGATGTTCTCTTCTGTTAGTTGTTGAATTTAACTGGTAAATTAACTTTCTAATACTTAAAGCTGTTTGCAATTTAGAAGAAGAGTTAAACTTCTTTGGAAATATGCTTGTTTATAGGGCTGTACCTGAGTCAGAATTATGTTCGTCGAATCAGATTTGGCTGTTCGATATGAATATTTGACTGTTTGTTCCTTTTTTCCATATACAATTTGAGTGTTTGAATAAAGTTCTGCTGGATGTGCAGGGTGACAGCGAAATTCACGTAACATAATAGCTGAGCTAGCCCTATGAGCTAATGCATGCTAATTACTTTAATGACAGACGGACTGAAACATCCCTGCTGCTTGACTTGAAGAATCTCAGTCAACTGAGGGGTCTACCAGGGATCAGCCCTACTTATCTGCTTTCTCATATCTGTTTAATATGAACAGACAGATATGACAGTAGCAATCCTTCTTTTTTACTCTCAATAAAATAAATAAGCATCTTTACCTAAATGTTGAACTATTTCTTTAACAACATATTTCTACAGCACTGTCTGAGTTTGATACTATGTTGACTTTCAACACCCTTCAACAAGCCCTTGATGCAACATGGCAGACTCAATAGCATGGTGAGTTTGAAGTGTCCTTTAAGATAATCCCGATGCTTGACCTTCAGGACAGAACAGGCTCATTATGACCGGCTCAGAATGAGCGTTGAGAGGCCGAGCTGTGTCGGCAGTGATCGAGAGACGGTCAGGGTCAGTCTAATGTCTGCTGACTGAAGGATCCTCTTCAGAAGGCCGTCTGATCTTTGCTCTCCTCTCCTCATTAAAGCACCAGAGATGGGTCATAATAATTGTGTTGTGTAAAGCTTTAAAATAAACCCATCTGTTGGCTGACAAAAGAATCAGAAGTTGATGCGTTTCAAGTTTTATTGCTGTAGTTTTTATTCTAGATGTCTGAAAGAGTTGAGGTAATCCTTAAAATAATGCATATGAGAAATATTGGATATTTCAAATTTGGGTTGGTTGACTGTTTGCTAACTCTTCATCTGAACAGTGATTGTCCAATCATAGCTTAGTGACGGTAACTTGACACAACAGTTCATGCCAAGCTGCAACAATTGCATGTCTGGCTAATAGTAACTCAGCATTACCTCCACAAACAGGGGCCTTTCATACTACATAATTATGTGGGGGTACATGGAAAAATAGCATATCTACAGTGAGTAGGATTTCCCCATTATGTGTCCTGGATGCTACTATATTAGGGGGTGGGCTAAAGTTAATGGCTCTCCTGCTCGATTGGATGATTGAGTACACTCAAGCAGCCCCCGGCCATACTATCCGAGATATTATTACATTTGCCAAACACATTGGTTAGTCCTTATCCTAAAATCCTTTTTCTTTCAAACTACAAAGTGAACAAATTGTTTGAAACTACAAGCAATAACGAAAAATCTAAATCCTTCTTTTCAGTACAACAGGGTTATTTCAACACAAACAGTCAGATTCTTCTTTTGTCATATAATTCAAATTGTAGAACTAATAAGTTCTGCAGTGCAGTGCAAGAACAGTGCCTTTTCTTTAATCTATATGTTTTCTACGTGGATCACCAAATGGGTAGACTTTTTTGCTTGGGACATGCAGCTTTAGCCTGTGGTGTTTTGGCACAATATCAAGTGCATATGTAAGACACTTTTAGAAGATTCTTGTTTTCAAAGTCAGATGGAAACAAAGAGAAGAGAGCATTTTTTTTAAAACAAACTTATGAAGCTAAAGTTTGCTGAGAGGTCCAGTGTGTGGGATTTATATATTGGCAGAAATGCAATATAATATAATAAGTATGTTTTCTTTACTGTATAGTTGCCTTAAAATAAGAATTGTTGAGTTTTCATTACCTTAGAATGAGTGGTTTATGTATACACATCCTCGCCTGCGGAGATTTCCATGTTTTACCGCCATGTCTCTACAGTAGTCCACAACGGACAAATCATACACAGGTTCTAAAATGGGCCATTTGCATTTTTGCATTTTGGCTACTGCAGCCCCTCCGTGATACCAGCCCTTTGATTGTTTTGATTTTTACATGAAACTGCTTTATTCGGTGTCTTAACCGGTTTAAATCACCTGGGCCTGTATTCACAAAGATTCTCAGAGTCCTCTCAGAGAACTCCTAACTTAGCATAAAAATTCCTAGCAAGGAATCTTAGCTTAAGAGTGATTCAGGAAGTTTCTGAGAGCAACTCTGAGCAAGGAGGGGACAGAAACTTTTATCTTAGTGAGGAGGTGTGGTTGACCCCGTTGCTAGGTATGATGCAGTCTTCTAAAAGCTGTGATTGGTTGTTACAAAAAGAAAAAAAAAATGCGCTCCTAGTAATGAATGGACAGTGAAATGAACCGATCATAGAACTTAGACTGTAGGCTCTTAAGAAATGTGTAATCGTGAAAATAATTTTATGTCATGATGATGAAACTCAGCAAAATTAAATTAATTGTTACACAGCTTCAAATGTTTGAATGTACCTCATTCACATGCCGATTATTATATTGATTTGCTTATTATGTTTACACGCCATGCTGGTAATTTTACTACTTAATCTATTTGATATTAATGGTGGACGCAGACTCAGCTGTCAGCAATTACTGTGATTGCTGGCCTCCTTGTAAAAAGCGGTTTGATTTGGCAGAATGACCAAAACAACGAACGAAATGGAGAAAAAAAGAACGAGAAAGCCGAACTGGACAGAAGAGCAGTGCCTGCTGTTGGCACAGCTCGTGGAGGAGAACAACGGATTTTTAAGAGGGAAATTCGGTCCCGGGATCACGGCACAAGGGAAGAGGCAGACTTGGGAGCGCATTGCCCAACAAATCAATGCATCGTTCCCTCTCCTTTTACGCACAAGCGATGAGTGTGAGAAGCGCTGGTATGTGCTGCAATCCAAAGTGGGTGTTATTGCGTTACTACGCTGGGTGGGAAAAGTAAGCCCATCCCTGATGAGGTCAACCACAAACATTATCCCTGCACGATCAAGCCGGTAGCGTCTTATTAAATCACTGTTGTTCAATATACAGAGAATATCTCTCCTTCCTCTCTGTCTTTCCGACATCTTCTCTGTTTAAGACACTCTTAGGCTTCTTAAAAGTCCTCCTCCCTCCTCTTAACAGTTTTTCACCTTAGGAGCTCTCTTAAGGCCTAAGATGCTTTGTGAATAACTTTTATCTTACCAAGGGAAAATTCTAAGAAAAATCTTAGAATTCGAGGAATTCTAAGATTTTTCTTAGAATGACGTCACTAAGAGCTACTTTTAGTCTTAGGATTCTTTGTGAATACGAGCCCTGGTCCATTTGTTTTGGAGAGGAGGAGACCTTTGTGGATAATTCAGCTCCTGATAAAAAATCTCCTTAATTTGTGAATCTCAAGATATCAGAGACAAAGATGAGCCACATTACCAGGGGCCAGGCTAGCAGCAGTCTTCAACATGCCAAACAGCGTTGGAGGAACACTGATTTGTAACGTGAAACTACTTTAATCAGAGTTTTTACTGGTTTAAATAACCAGGTCCATTTGTTTTGAAGAGAAGAAGACCTCTGCAGATATTTTGGCTCCTAATAAAAACCTCCTTAATGTCTGGATCAGAAAGTTAGGGAGAAAAAAAAAGATGAGCACATATAGCAGGCACTGGGCGAGCAGTCAACTGTGATGTACCAAATGATGTTGGAGAAACCCTGTTCTGTAACGTGAAACTGATTTATTCAGTGTTTTAACTGGTTTTAATCACCTGGTCTGCTTACTCTGGAGAGTAAGAGACTTCTGTGGATAATTCAGCTCACAATACCCCCCGCCCCCGAACAATGAATACTAAAGGAATTCCACCCAGAAGAAGTTTCAGCTGGTTGCAATCTGCAATCCTCACCACAAGATTCCACTAAATCTCCCAAAACTGTACGCACTGTTCCTTTAATAGGCAAGCAACTTTTGTTATTTGAGCCAGCAAAGTCAACAGTTGCCAGCTAAGCTTGATTTTGTTTTCCTCTGTCTGAAATAAAGAACAAACTTTTTTAATCAAGTGCTAAATCTGTCACATATCTGCTGTAAACTGTGAAAGGCTTGACAGGCAAAGCAGTTGTGACTAAGGGGGACGAGGCTTAGTGAACAATTGCCTTTGTTTCTCATTAGTTACACAAACAACAAGGGATGATAAGCCAGATGTCACAATGAGACATTTCAGTGACTGGACCTTCAGATACCGTCGCAGTGGATGTGGCTTTTCTGATGTAGGTGTGTTATTCCTCCGTGAGTCTGACTAATGCATCTCTCTGCCTGTGACTGCTACATCTAACTGGCAAACAAATGTCTTCCTCTTTGTTTGGAAAGCCTCTGAATAGGACGCACAGGCTGAGCTGGCAAACTAAAATGCAGTGATTAGCAGCAGAATAGGTTGCTGTTCAAATCAAACAGCCAAGATTTTAATGCTATGCTGATACCATATGAGAAAGGTGCAATATGACATATGAAGAAGAAATTAAGGTATTAGGGTAAGAATTCAATACTGACTAACACAAAAACACAATTAATTATTGTTGTTGCTGTAGTTACTAAAAGTTACAACTATAGTTGCGACCAGAGACTTCCTCAGTCCCTTATTATAGTAATAGACACTGCTTATAATGATGATACTTAAAAACAGTTATAGCATAAATATAATCTTTAAAAACTGCATTTAATGTTTATACCCCCTATTTCATTCTTTACCTGGAGCAAATCTGGAGCAGTTTTATAGCATACAGCCCACTCTGCTGTCCTTAGACAAAAACCTATAATGAACTTCATCCAAATTAGCCTATCATCTCTTTTGCACAAGGAAATTGAATTGTCAAGGCAATTGTAGGGACAGAAAACTAAATGAGCCAATTTAAAGTCAGAGGAGAGACTGCTTTTTATTTTCAAGATAATATCAGACCGGTTTCTCTCTGGTCTTTTCGTCCAGTGTGTCAGTCTGTCCATCAAATATAATTGGATCTGTCTGGAAAGTGTGGGTTCTTAAAATGTCTGCTGAACTTAAAACTTTACACATTTGAAATCATGTTATCTGTAACTATGATGAAAGTTCAAGAAAGCAGTAGCTTGACAGAGACATGACTTGGAAAACTGGCAACAGGAGCAAAGCTGTCTCTTACTGACCAAAGAATCCAAAAATGTCAAACATTCTTCATGAACAGAAGTAAAGGGGGGGCGCATTTAACAGAAGCATAACTGTATCAAAACATCCGTTTACAAACTCTCACACAACTCCTGCATTATAATCCAAGCCTCATTTATCCAGTGCTTCCCAAACACAACACTCAAGCATTATATTGAGCAGAGTTCAAACACATGCAGGCACGCTGCTTGTCTCTGCCCGTGACTGTTCATGTAGAAGTGTTTTGCATAGTTTTAGCAGATGCTTGTGTTAGGGGAAATACTGAGTACACGACAGGATAAATGAGACTTGGATTACACTGCATGAGCTGTGTGAGGGTTTGTAAAAGGATGTTTGATGTAGTTTTTTTGTTGTTAAACCCAGATCTCTTTACTGCAGTTCATCAAGAATGTTCACAGTTTTTGGATTCTTACTCCACCGGTGAGGCATGAGAAAATAACAACATTTACTTTACAAATTCAAGGTATCACAAAGTGAATAACTGATATACAAATGGTAATTTTGTGAGTGAAGGGGCTCTAGTCCTTGGATCTGTGTATTTACTGGCAGAGAGTGTCCAGTGTGTTTCTGAATATATGTACCTTCGTGACAGAAGACTCCAGTGTAGGCTGAATGGTCGCAGTCACAGGAGAAACCATTGGCTCTCTCCACACAGCGACCTTGGTTCTGGCAGAGGGAGCCGTAGCTGCTGCAGTGGCCGGGGCACCCTGGTCGTACCCCTGGGGTGATCTTCGCCCTCTCCTCCAGGTCCAGAGTGACTCCGTTCAGCTGCAGAGAGCGGATGCAGCCCAGAAAGCCTTTCTGTCTTGATGCAGTTCCTCCTGCCAACAAAAACAAATATTGTACACATGATATCCTAGTAGTAACACACTCAGTGGGAAGTGTCCCAGATTTAACTGACACCATGTCACCCAATCAAAGATTAAAACCTGCCCAATCCTCATGTGTTCAAGAGCATCCCTGTTATGTGCCTTTATAAACTAAACTAGAATTACAGCCTGACAGTTGTATGCCTCCTGGAACCTGTCAAGTTTCACTTGCAGTTTACAACCATGTCTGTCTGGACCAAGTCAGCGTGGGTTTTCTCCGGGTATTCCGGCTTCCTCCCGCAGTCCAAATACATGCAGGTTAGGCTAACTGGTGACTCTAAATTGTCCGTAGGTGTGAATGTGAGTGTGAATGATTGTCTCTATGTGTCAGCCCTGTGATAGTCTGGCGACCTGTCCAGGGTGTAGCCTACCTTTCGCCCAATGTCAGCTGGGATAGGCACCAGCCCCCCCCGTGACCGCCAACAGGATAAGTGCTTACAGAAAATGAATGAATGGATGAATGGCCATAAACATGTTTACAGTGACCTTTGACCACCAAATTCTAATCAGCTCATCACTGAATCCACGTGGACATTTGTACCAAATTCGAAGAAATTCCTTTGAGGTGTTCTTGAGATATCGCGTTCCTAAGAATGGGACAGATGGAGAGATGAACAGACAGACAGACTCCAGCAATTGCTGTCACCAGCTTGGAAGCCTATACATTATCTGAGATAATGGTACATTCAACATAAAATTATTCACTTATTTGAACAGATGGAAGCTTTAATGAGACTTTTTTTCATGAGGCCTGTTTAATAATAATTTGAAATGAAATAAAAAATGTTTAGCCTAGTTGTAATATGTTTAAGTGCCATTTTGGTTTCATCAGTCTCTGTGTTTCAGACATATTGAACTGATCTCATGTATCTGTTTAGCTATATTAATTGGAGAAGGGAAGGGGCCAATTGATTTGAATATAGCACAAAATGTCATTGGGGGTAGTAAAGCCCAAATTCTCACAAGCCAAAAAAACAAACAAAAACATTTCTACCCACCTCATGATATAAAGAGTAGGAACATTTGGCACAAGACCACCCAATCCGGCTTCAGTGGTCACACTCCTCCTTTCATTCTGCCTCTGATTGTAAATCTATACCTTTTTTGTTTTCTCGGAGGTAAATTATGATTGACAGGAACATGTTGCCATTAAAGTACAATGAGGCCATGTCTGCTCCGGAGGGCACTGACACTCTGCCTGTATCACTGTGCTGGCTGTTGATTGGCTAACTGTGTGGATGATTAGCCATCTGGTGTCTGATATTCATCCTCTCCACTAGCAGGCGAGAAGAAGAGACTCTTCCTCCTTTCACCTGATAATTAACATTCTAATATAGCAGCCTCACACTGTTCACAGAGTTTAGACTTGGCAAAATTACATTTCTCCCGGAGTTCAAAGCTGGCGATGTCTTATTTTATATCCGCGCATGACAGTTGTTATTGTTCTTGCAGACTGGAATTGGCAGGGTATTACTCTTGCAGGTTGAGTCTGGAAAAACCTCAAATGTTCAGCAAGAGAAGCTTTTCATACCACTGAATCTCTAACCTCTGTGAGGCTCTAGTCAGTTATAAAACACAGACGGCACATTAAGAGCACATAGAGTGAGAAATTTAATTAAAACATTCTCGACAGCTCTATGAGGAAAAATTTGATTACGCTGGGTAAAACACATTCACAGCAAACTTCTATTAATACTGACTAAACCAGCAACAGCTACAGTAGACTGTGGAGTTTAGAGAAAATATTGGTTGTGACTGCAAAAAAATGATCTAATCTTTAGCGCACTGTGATTAAAAAAACAATGACAGACTCATGAGGGACAGAGGCTCTAACAAAGAGAGAAAAAAAGGACAGGAACTGCCAGAGAAACAAGTCCTGTAGGAGTCAAAAGAAAGACCTTGACAGGATGTCAGACACTTTAACCTCAGCTCATGGTGTTAATATGCCAAAGCAAGAGAACTATAATGTTTAATAAACATGGTGATATGATAGAGCTATTAAATTAAAGACTATCTTTAGACCTTTTCGCAAAGTTCAATAAAATATCAGGGTATACAAAAGCGGAGCAACATCTTGCTGTTACTACACATGAACTGCACAGAAGGACATTTGCAGCCTGAGAGCACAATTGATTTTCAGTTTTAAAGAGCTAACTGCCTTCCTTAGTGTAACCTTACTAGAATTAACCAGAAAAGTGGACAAAACTCAGACAATGAAACAAAAATGACTGGTAAATATAAACGAATACAGTGATTCTTGACTTCAAATGAATGTGGGCTCTTTCCTACCCCCACCTACATCCAATCCCCTTGCTAGGACCATGACCAACTTCGATCTTGGCCTTAATTTTGATCTCAAATGTACACCTTTAACGTTTCATTACTGCTTCTTGCACAGCTGCAACACTAATGTGGTGACAACATTTGTTCACATATAAACATATAAACACCGAACAAAATACTGAAAATGACTTCTGTAGTTCTGGACAGTTCATCTCATCTGGACCACATATTACCATCACACACACATGTGATCACACCAGCAGTGATTCATGGCCCTTCCCTACTTCCTACCCCCGATACTTCCAGTATTTTGCTTGGACCTCATCCATCTTTTCACTCTGCCTTTATTTTGATCTCAAGCCTGCAACGTTTCATGACTGCAACTTGCACAGTTTTGACACTATGACAGTGAAAAAAAATCTGTAGAAATGTTGTTTAAATGTCAGAAAGACATTAGTCTCATGTAGCCAGACCTGTCTCCACAACACTATGTGATATAGAAAGGTCTGGAATCACCGATTATCTTTCTGCTAAAGGGGAAAAAACGCTCTGGCTTGTTTTTGTCTTTTTAAACCAATCACAATTGAGTTGGGCAGCGCTAAAGCGAGGATGCAGTGATACTGCTCTTTCTAAATAGTGACAGGGTTGAGCTTGTTTTGGAAGAACATTTGCACATAGGGAGGCTAGCACTGTCATTTAAATGGGTCCCCAAAAGAAAACATCACAAAAAACATTAACAGTCTTATGTCACTGTGTGATTCAACTTTTAGTGATAAAAAAAAGACAAACATAATTTGATACTTGGTGCCCTAGAGGTGAAGCATGACTATACTTAAGCTCTTAACATTTTTTAAAATTTGTGGCAAAGCAACTCCGACTGGCCGTGAAAGTAAATGGATCAACATGTGGCATGAGAATCCTGAGAGACAGAGTCTGGGACTTTCTGAGGTGCATTCGCAAGTTGTTTTATTTGTTGTAGATCTTCACAACAATTCACCGAAACAACAAAGCAGATATGCCTTATGGCACGATCCAAATCTTTGTCAAAACTTGCCATTTTCAGCGTGTAAGCTGTTAGCTCCAAAGTTGTTGTTGTTTCCCATAGTGAAGGGGATATGAATACAGTAACACGCAGATAGCAGAGGGAATGAAACGAGAAGGCAGGCTGATTTCGGCGGCTCTTTTCCTCTCCTAGCTTTTTGGCCAAAGTCTACATCTGGTGGGTCAGACTACACAGATATATAAACACCTGGCAAAATAGGCTACTTAAAATGGTTTCTGTAGTAATTCCAGCTACAGCAGGTGTCTCCAGGACTGCATTTTGCCATGATGACACACACACACACACAAGGTGAGAACAATACCAGCCCTGCTGTCGTGGCTGCTAACAACTAAGCAAGAGGACATAAACTCAAATATCTGTTCACATCAGGCATACACACTATAACAACGCATATCTATCAATATGATTATTATTTTAAGCTTGTACAAGGATGTGTGTTATAGTGTGTATACGGATTAATTCCTTCCCCTGGCAATAAATGAATTTGAACCAGAATAACTTTGTGTCATATAAATTCACCCAAGGCAATATTACGGCTTATTAATTCAAACTATGGAATACCCTGTCTTATTAAGTTATACAGGGCAATTTTATATTTTACAAATGGGACACACTATTCATAGCAATATAGCTGTCTTTGCAGTATTGTGAATTATGATTTCACAGAAGGGAGGCTGCTAACATTATGGATTAACAATAACAATTTGTGGAGCACATGGCCCTCCACTTTCCAAAACAAGGAAGGAGACACACAGGAATGCATATTGCTTTGCAGTAAATCATGTCTTTGTCAAACACAAACACCCTCTCCCACAGCGGTCTATTTCATAATCCCATCACATTTCCATACAAACCTATGAATCTCCCTTCATCACCGGTAAACACGAACGGGGACAGTGCTGCCCATATAAGGAGAACAACTCGCGGTCACTTCTTTCTGGCTGCTCGCAGAGGATTATTATCTTAACGCAGCCAGCCAATCAATGCCCAGCTCCATCTCTCTGCATCTCTCCAATCTAATCAACATTTGATGGTCTATTTTCTCTGTAGTGTGTGTTTACACCGAACAAATGTCCATAATATTTGCAGAAAGATAAAGCCTCATAACCCAAGTTGGATTTTCATCTCCTCAAACACAGTTGGATAGATAAGAGCAAGAGGTTAAACATAATTGTGGCAGTCTGTGGAAGAGATGAAGTGAAGATATGAGAGTTTAAAATGATAAAGTTGAGAGGAACACAGAAAAATAGGGTCGTTGAAAAGTTGACCCAAAATCTATCCTTCTATATCAAAGAATCAGCTTGAATGTATGGTTTATGGTTTACTCTGATGGCTACAATTTGTCACAGTTCGATTTCAAAATGTTTATATTTTTCCAAAATGACATCAGTGAGTCACAGTATTGCACTGGGTGACATATCCTTTACAACAATGAACACAGCCACTGTAGTTTATTTTGAGTCAATCCCACACACACATTGTCCTGCTGCCAGGAATACTCAGTGGAGCACCAAATGTGCATCGGTCCACATGGGAAAATAGTCCCTAACAAATGCACTCTTTGCTCCTGTTTGAGTAATGTTCGCTTAAAAATACATTATCCGGCTGTTTATGGAAATTACTGAGTCTTTTTTTAAAAATTAAACCTTACATTTGTAACATCTTTTTAACCACCATATCCCCTCCCCCACCCCCCAAAAAGTTGTTTGCTGCAGCTCAACAGACAAAGTACTGCACGTTTATTACCAAACTGAGCACAGAGTCAATAACACACATTCATGAAACAACCTATAATGTAACTTTCTTTCACATGAAAAGCATTTTTACTACATATGTTACATCATAATTCCCTCTTCAATATCTAATTTATATTGCTCCTTCAAACAGCTGCATTTATTCAAGTTCCTTGCCAAAAGCTATATTTTACAAGATTACATTGAACACATCATGAGGTCATTAGAATTTAATTTCACCCAACACTCATTTTACTGAATAGAATCTGAACACTTCACAATGTAAATCAATGCAACTTCCGTGACCTGTTTAGTTACAGGCATCAGCTGCTCAGAGGTAAATAGTTGTCCTCCTGCTGACTTCCACACAGATGTTGCTTTTCATTTTCGTTCTCTTCACATACATTCTTCTCACTGGTGTAGTGGTAATTGAGTGGACACCAGAGAGCTTTTGTCATTTTGACATGACAATAATACAGTGTATTTCGGGGTTCATGTGATGACGGATAACTTTTCCGTCTCCCCCAGAGAGCAGGTAAAGTGTAACAAGGGGACCCAGAAAAAAGGCCTCCATATTATTTTCTCTATTATTTAGTAGGGTTTCTTCTTCCCCCATTTGTGGCGCCCCCTATGGATAATGGCGCCCTTAACAATCCCCTTTACTGCCGGGCAGAGAAGTTGGACTCTATTAAGAGGTGCCAAAGTCAGTGTGTTACAGGGTAAAATGCTTGCAGTGTTTAGCTGCTTGTCAAAATAAGAGCTAAACATTACCCAACTTTTAATGACTACGTAACACATCTGCTTTCATGTAGCTGCAGGTCAATTGGGCCCTGTACAGATGCAGGTGCAGCTTTACAGACTACACTTCTTTATCAAGGGTAATTACTGATTCAGTATTTAGAGGGCATGGACTCAGCATCTGCTTTTCCAGTAGAGAGACTTTTTTCATCAATACAGCCAATATTAGCAACACTTGTTAACACCACCTCCCACTTTCTAAGCTTATCAGTCTAGTTGGGTTGTAAACGACTCTTAGGATGAAGTTTACTGCAATTCAACACATGCAGCTGCCTGGTTTCTTGAACTTCAACAGCTGCCCATGTGGGACTTATGTGATGCAAAATTAACAGCCCAGTCACCAAAATAATATGCTGGCATTGCAGTGGCAGCTCCTGCCAAATTTCTCAGGGGGGCAATTGTTGTGGTGATGGCTGAGGTGACCCGTTCAATGGGTAAATTTGAATTCATTTGGCTCTACAATGACTGAACAATCCACAGTGGTCATCAACAGACTAATTTTCGTCAGTTTGCCCACACAAATACCTTTGAATGTGAACAGAGACCTGTTTTACCATTAATCAAATAAAACTGAGTAAGGTATTCACTAAGTCATTGTCAGTCTTAGAAAACATTTTACTATAGCTAAGTGGAAATTCATTTTGTGTTCTGATTAAAGAAATAAATGCAGGCATACCCTACAACTTAATACAATGCACATCACATGGTATCACTGCTCTTTGACCTGACCTGAACGTTTTTTTGTTGTTGTTTTTCAGTTTCAGACATATGTTGGGGGGACATTTTGGGCATTGGGGGGGGGGGGGCACATGTCCCCCTCAATGTATATGGTGACTACTGCCCTGTCAGCATGTATAATTAGGCCTCAGTTGTTTGGGTGAAGTGCGCTGGTCTTGACATACAAAGTTTGACAAGTGTCAACTGGACAATATGGAGATATTTGCTTCTTGAAAGCCGGACTACAAATGTGGATAGACAGGGAGAAACACATGCAACCTAAGACGTGGTAAGATACGATATTCCTCACTATATGAAGTGACTGATAACAAGATCTGTATAATGGATTGTAAAGAAATTTGTCAGGTTTTTATTTTGTAGACAAGTGATCTGTATTTATAGCGTGATGGGATGACAGGACAATGATGTGTGTGGTATCACTGGAAAGCTCTGCTCCTGCGCTTTCATGTGATATGTATGGCATTTCTGTGCGAGCCTGCATTCACGAGTACTCCATCTAAGAGTAATGTGTGTGCAAAGCTGTATGAAAGCTCTGTTAAACATAATTTTAGTGTAATTTTATCATTTTTTTCCCTTGTGAAAACATTGGACTATTAAACATTTGACGATGTGTTTTTTAAACATTTTGAGTGATAAAATACAACACATCTTCTTTGTAATGTCCATGTTGTCTCCACATTACGACTTAAACGCTCATGAACACACAATGAAGTACCGAAGAATGACTTCCCGACATGGGAGATCGGACCACCCGAGGAGCACATGAATGATACTTGGTGGTTTACGTATGACGAAAACACATTGGGGCAAGCCCTCCCGGAACCCATAGAGATTGTATTGGGATGCTTGCATTTAGAAAAAAAAGACTTCTACATGAAAGTCTATGAGTGAATCGGGGCGATTTCCAGCCAGGCTGATATCGCCCCAAAGGGTCGGAACGCGACTTCACACTGCGGCTGATTGGATATTCAGAGGCAGGATGAGCTGTTTCAAGTGAAAATTATCAGAATAATTAATATATTGTGTGTGTATGTGACAATAATGATGATGATAATCATACATCTATTATCATCATCTTCTTTCTTTTCTTTTGTGGCTCAAGGAGGGGCGGCGCCCTATCGTCCTCTATTGGCCAGCTGCCCCTGTGGCATTGTACTTTTATGCAAACCACAGATATGTTACATTTGGGCGTTTCATATGTATCATATTAACATTTCTAAAGAGACAGTTTTGATTATGTGTATCCCTTCATTCCTCATCCCTTCATCCCTTCGATCCATACCCCTTCACGCTTTCCTCCGAACCCATAATCCATCATACGCAATAAACCATTCAAAATCTTTACCTTATTGGTGTGGTCTTTGTTAGTGAATAACAGTTTGTGACATGTCCAGCAATGTTTTCACTAACCAAACAAGGTATTTAAAAGCACGATCTTTTCCTGACCCTAACCAAGTGGTATTTGTGCCTGAACCTAACCACATGTTAGCCAAATAGTTGTCACAACATAAAATGAAATGTACAGAAGCATAAAGTTTCAACCTATCCACAACATATGAAACATAAAAATGTAACATATCCATGGTTTGCTGAAACGTACAATGTCAATATTCATTTTGGTGATTGGGTTGGAGTAAAACTTGTATCCCAAAATGTTTAGTGTGAACTGCATGGCAAAGTGGGCAGAAATTGCAGAATTTACTTTGTAGAAGAGAAAGTCCAACAAAGTTCAATTTCAAGCAAATGAAATGCAAATGTAATGTGAATGTGTTGCTAGAGTCACAGTCTGAGATAAGAAAGGATAAGACGAGACAGCAATTATCACCAGCACTCAGCTGCTAATGAGGTTAATGTTCAAACACCATAAATAACTCTTTCCACAAGATGCCTAATCTTAATCCTGTCTACAACCTTAAACTAACCCTGACTCTTTTTAACCCCAAATCCAAATCCTAACGCTACAAAGCTTTTTAAATTCTCTCACTTTGAATTTTCCTCATATGTCTAACGTTTTGAGGGCTGGAAACACACACACACACACACACACACACACACAAAGTCACACTCTTGCATCGTACCTATGAATAACTGGCTGTTGAGCTGTAGATGAATGTGTCCGTCAGCAGGAGCCTCCTGCGTGGTGGCAGGGAACTGGTCGACACGTAGCGATGCTTCCTTCACATTTCGCTCAGCTCGCACGCTGTGCCACCGGTTGTCGTTCAATGGGACGCTTGCCTCCACTCGCACCTCCAGCGGCCCGTTTCCAACATCAAAAGAGAAGATGACCTCTGAGGAGGCTGGAGATGAGGGTTATGGGAAGAAAAGTTAGTCAGATAAATTAAGAGTGTAAGGAGACGTGTAAAAGAGTGAGAAGCTGTGTAGGAAGCACTGGGATGCCTGGGTGACTGTCACCCCAGCAGAGTGAGTTTGACTTGTTCCCCCCCGAATTCTAACGGGCTGATTAACAAACCCTCCCTGACACTTTGAGATAATTGTGTCCTCTGATGAATGAGACATTGCAAATCCTTTATGTCACTTCCAAACACATCACGGCTCCATCTTTACCGAGAGAGCAACACACTTTGAACAATCCATCAAGGCACTGTGTGTTGTCACTTCAAGTTCTAGCATGTTAAGTAAATTTTATTTACTTGAACGTCCATTCGTAAATGACAAACATGAATTTGCACGGAGAAGATAAGGAAGAAAATATGTAAGTTTCAGTATCTGTTACCTCATTTTTCAGATGTTCTAAGAAAAATGTGTGGAATCCATCCAACCAATGAGGAACAGTCTACGGCAGAAGTATGACGACCCTGTCCTGTCAGTTCTTCCTAGACAGTTAACTATGTTTGTGGAGTAGGCGGAGTGTGTTCTTCTCTTTATTTTTGTTTAAATATCCTACCAAATGTAAGAAAAAGACCCACAAGAATACTTCTCTTCTTTCAAGGAATCTCATTTTGTTTTCATATTTTAGTGTGTCAGACTTAGATAAAAAACATGGGACTTTCACAGTGTTGATGGGAAATGCATTTCCATCAGTTTGGCATCAGACTTTGCCATCTTTCAATGAACCCATTAGTTAGTCGTGTTCCTCCATCATCATATGTTGGCAGAAGTGTGAAGTGACTTCCTCACACCCGCCTGTCTGCTGGCAGGATGGACTGACAGCTGGACACAGATCTGAGAGATCAGCCCAAGGCAGGAAAGAAAGGCTGCAGCTACAAACTAACATCTGTTAGTTTCTGTGTGTGTGAGAGTGTGTGTGTGTGTGTGCCAGCACTGCTGAAACCAAGTCTCAGCAGCAGTCAGAGATCATACAGTTGTGTGGTATCAAGCAACTTTTACTTCAATTGCCTTTTACATTGGATCTTTATTATTTGCAGCATTTAAAATCACATCTGATGTTTTTTAAATTTTGTAGTCTCTCTTTGAATGAGGAGCAATGTCTGATCTGAATATAATTTGTTTAATTATCTCACTTGGATCTAGTTTCATGGAAAAATTATAGCATTTACTGTCCAATGAATTTCTGTAGTGATGCCAGTATCAGCCGGTCAGTCCACCACTTTATCCAGACAGAAATATCTCAACAAATATTCTACAGATTGCTGTGAAATGAGTTTGGGGATGCCCTTTCTCTTCCTCTGGTATCACCAACATGTTGACGTGTGGTTTTGAGTGAAATCTCTCAACAACTATTCCATGGATTGTCATGAAATCTTGTACATACATGAACAGGATGAACTATATTTCAACTTTGGTGAACACTGGTCATCTCTTAACTTTTTGTCTGACACCATCATCAGTCCAGACTTTTTCGTTCAGTAGTTTATGACCAAACACCTGCAGAACTGTTGTTATTAGCATCAACAGCATACCTGCTAAACACTAGCATACTAGAATTGTCACTGTAAGCCAAGCAGTGACCTCCAGTTCTGAAAAATGAAGTCAACATAGAAGTGCCAAAAACTGCAGTTCCTTGAATGGCCACTTGAGGCTGGCTCCAGAGGTGAGTCAGTCTCCATAGATCCCCATGTTAAAATACCCATCATCACAGCACAACAAATATGTTAACAGCCTGGTACAAAATAACAGTTTTGGTATCTATAACTAATTTTAACATTCATGACAACTGTACAGGGGTAACTTTTATAGAACTCCTTAACATTGTTTTAAGGCTTAAAGTTGCACACAATTAGGTGCAGACCACATTAAGTGACATGTTGTCTGCGAGGCATGGCTGCATTCTCCACAGCTCCAACCTCTAGTCTAAATATGGCTACTTCTGGCTCCAAATAACCAAGAAGGTGACAGCTGAAATACCAAACTCTCCTTTTATTAATACTATTATGTTCTGATCACGTGCTTGGTATGAAAACAGGGTACAAACTGTTGCTTCACTTAAATATTGTTGATTTGCCATGAAAACCAACTGTTTAATGCCATTTTTTTTTAGCTGTGTTACAGCCATAAGTAACAATGTTACAATTAAGACACATGCACTTCATTTGTTACATCACACAGCATCCACTTACATGTAAGTAAAAGACTCTGTGAGTAAAAGAGTGAAAACTGGAAACTGTTACAGTTGTTGTGACTCTCCCTTATTTCACTTGAATGTCTGGAACTTTCTCTATCTTGCTGACGCATCACATAGAAAGAAAACATATGGACATGTTATGTATGTCATCTAGTGAACACAAATCCAATGCAGTGTCCTTCCTTGTTAAGCTATGTGTTCTAAGTATCCTAGTGGGACTGAAAATCCAAACCTGATATAGGTAGGCATGCTGTAGTCATTAATCTTCACAGCATTTTCACAGCTCTATTAGGTTAAAAACTTAACCTATAATAAAGAGAGGTGACCTGAAGGCCACATGGAGTCTGTTCATCCATCATAACACTGCCAGCATGCCTGCGCTCCACATTTAGGGGTGAAGTTAGCAGAGAGGTGACATCTGTGCATGAGCACAATATCATCATCCTTCATGGATGATGATGACAGCGGAGGGGAAGCTGTACCGGTGGGAGTGTGGAACTATTTGATAGAAACTCCCCCTGGCATAACTTAATTCAGGGGCAGCTCTCTGGCCCAGCTCCAGTCATGTTAACAGCAGTAATAATGATACAGAGTCATCTCAACACCAGCTGTCATAATAACAGCAGTAATAGTGCTGTAGCGAGATAAGAGACACGCTTCACTGTAACAATGCCGGGGTTTCCCCAAGGAGGAGGGCTACCATTTGTCCTAGCTGTGTGTGTGTGTGTGTGTGTGTGTGTGTGTGTGTGTGTGTGTTTGACAAAGGGAGGGACAGAAAGCAAAAAAGGGAAATATTTAAAAGAGATTAAGCTTTAGTTCTCTCACATCACTTGTTGAACAATGTGGTCTGTTTTGTATGAAACTAAAAGCATGTTGTGCCGTACAGAATAACGCATAAAAGCAAAGTCAGATCTGATGCCTATATTGGCAAGGACATCTTTTAGTGCTTTCCAAAATTGCTACAAATGAAAAAAAATCTCTGATCTGACACAGCTATGTTTGATTAGGTTTATGGCAAAAATCATGGTTTTGGTTCAAGTACTTTGTTTACTTTGATAAAGTTAGGGAATCACTGTATCTGTGTTAAAATTAAAATGTTGTTTAGGTTAGCAGACCTTCACTGTCATCATTAAAACAAATCAACTTGGACTCTAAGTGGAAACAGGAAGTGAACAGGGCGATCACCTCGTTATTGTTCTTCACAGCACACATGATTTGCGGGACAATGTGGGACACGTAAGAAATTACTATTAATAGGTTATATAATTGATTTTATATTAGATGTAAAGTCTGTTTACACTAGTGTTGGATGTTAACCTGCTTTCAATCTCGATGGGCTTTATGAAATGATCATTTTAATGGCACTGGATCCATTTGATTCTAATGAAGTATAGAGAACTAAATAAATAGAATAAACACTTTAGTTAAAAGGACATTTTAAGATGTCATTTTCCCATTTTCCCAAAGTAGAGACTAGGTAACCAAATATTAAATAGGTTCCTACTAGATTAATGGTTCTTATACTTGTACTTTTTGTTGCTTTGGGCAACTTCAGTCAGGGCCTTCTCCTTCAGTATGTGGGTGTAGAAGTCCTGGCAGGGGCAACAGTTGTTTCTCTACACTGGAAGGCTATGACTAATACTCCTATTTGACACTCTACCAATAAGCTTTAGAACATTAAAAAAATGACGGCTGCGCTGATTGAAATTGTTTAAACCAATCATAGATTCTGGGGGAAAAAATAAAAACTTTTTTTTATGTTTGCAACCATAATTTAGGCAAATATGATGGAAGTACACAGTTAACATGTAATATCTTTATCATAAAAAGAAATGAAAAAGTAGGCCTGGTCATTGAAATCCAGGACATTTGTTATGATTTTTGTAATGTTGCTGGACGAACTTTCCAATCTCAGGACTGTCCCACCAAATAAAAGACAGATGTTCACCCTTGCGTTCTTTCATGTCAAAGTTCACATCATGTTGATCCATCCATCCTGACACTATTTCCTCCTTTGCTTTTTATGGACAAAACCCCCACAGCCGCTAGAGAGCTTTGTCACTTAAACACTAATGATCCTCTCCAAACACATATGTAGTTTGTGTCTGATATACACCGATCAGCCAAAACATTAAAACAACATTGATCATCTTGTTACAATGCAAGGTTCTGTTGGGAAACCTTGGGTTCTGACATTCATGTGGATACCACCAGACACGCTCCAACCACCTAAACACCAGTGCAGACCAGGTACCCCCCTTATGACAGCGGCTCTCCACAGTAGTACTGGCCCATGCCACACCACAAATATGCTCAGGAATAGTCCAAAGAACGTGACAAAGAGCTCAAGGCACCAACTCGGCCTCCAAATTCCCCAGATCCCCATCTGATCATACATCTGTGAGACATGCTGGTACCCCACCTCACAACCCACAGGACTCCAAAGATGTGAAGCTAACGCCCTGGTGCCGGACACTACAGGACATCCCCCAGAGGTCCTGTGTTCATGCCATAAGAGGTCAGAGCCAAGACTGGTCCAAGGAGCGTCCACCTTGAATGGTGGGTTCCTCTGGGGTCCCAGCACATCCCTCAAATGTTCGATCAGTTTGGATCTAGGGTATTTGGACACCAGGTCAACACCTTGACCTCTTTGTCACAATCCTCGGGTCATTCCTGAGCAGCTTTTGAGGTGTGGCATGGTGCATTGTCCTGCTGGGGGGGGGGGGCTGCCATTGACAAGTGCTGTTGCCATAAGGGGGTTTACTTGGTCTTCAACAGGTGGTTGGAGCGCATCAGGTAGCATTTACATGAATGCCAAGACCCAGGGTTTCCCAATGGAATATTGCATTGTAATAAGATGATCAATGTTATTCACTTCACCCACCAGTGGTTTTAATGTTTTGGCTGATTGGTGTATTTTTTCTACACAAAAAAAAAAAAAAAAAAATCAAATAGTTGAAAAGTCTTCAAATTACATGTACCCCTCTCCCTCATTGACATATTCAGAATCTATGCATAAAGAAAAAACTTCAGCGTCCTCAGTGTTTCCACATAACACTGTAAGTCGCATATTGGACCATGAATGGCTTCTACACTCGATGTGATGTCACCAGTTCATGCCAATATGTGCACGTCTTAAAAACAGTTTTGAGAGGGACAAATTTTCCCCTTTCAGTAGATGAATGTTAAAAACATTCCTCTATTGTCAAACTTTGTGAAGTCACAATAAGGAAAACACATTTTTGGGTGAAGGGGGGACTTTAACATCATCATGTTGTTTTTGGTTGATGCCATCCAGTTTCTTGGGAACAAAACCCAGGAACATGTATATGATAATGAGGCAGAACATTGTTGAGCTCTCACTTACAGCTGAGTTCAATCCGGATGAAGTCTTTGATGCCAAGGTTTTCCAAGAAGACCCCAGAGGAGGACGTCGTTTTAAACAGGAAGGAGATGTCTGCATTCAGCTCTCCATGGAAGGTGGGAAAGTGAAGGTACGATGTCTCCTTGTCAAAAAACGCAGCATTCCAGAAGTTCTCTAAGAGACAAACCAAGTGCTCAAATGCTTTATATGCTTACTGATGCAAATCATTTTTTTTAAAGTGGATATATCACTCTGAAACAACGCTTATTAAAAGGAATCTCATTATGACGGCTGTATAATGAAAATCGTGTTGTAAACAAATGCACCAACTGCTCAGCTAAATAGCTGAGAACAAAGGCATAACTCCAGCTATGCTATCTCATTTATGCTGATTTATCTCGCTTGGCATTTATTTATTCATTTATTTACTCATTAAGCTGAAGGCTGAAATTAGAAGCAATTAAAACAAGGTAAAATATATCACTCAGACTAGTTTATTATAAAGCTTTTCATTAGTAGTTGTTATTAAAGAGCACAAAGGGAGTCATATTTTAGCTGCTGGTCTGTTAATTAGCTGGTGTAATTGGCCGCAGCCTATTTTTCCATTAAGAAACTAAATGGCAGGGGGAAGATTAGATACATGAATAGCTTTAGTTCAGTTCACGCTAAAGCTGAATGAAGCCTTTTAATAATATCAAATCAAAACACTGTTAAAGAAATAACGAAAGAGTCAACAATAGGCTACATGTGGAGGAAAACAGAAGTGTCAACACTGAACCCAGCAAATAATAATGCAATAATCAGCAATTAAAACTGGCTTACTGTCTCCATGACAACGGAGGGGTCCCACCCTGTAAGCAGCCTCTGACCCCAGCCGCTGGATGTCACCCAGCACCAGAGACCTGACTGGGAGAGTCTCCTTATGGGTGAGCAGGCCCGAGTCATTAGCCCTGTGTGATGAAGAGGATGAGAGGAAGGAGGAGGAGAAAAGGGGGATGAAGAAGGAGGTGGAAGAGGTTAAAAAGAAGGAGAAAAACAAGAGGAGGAATAAGGAGGAGGAGCAGGAAGACCAGAAGGAGAAGAAAGATGATAAAGAAGAAGGAGGAGAGAAGAGGAAAGACAAGAGGAAGAATACACAGCAGAAAGAAGAGGAAGACGCAGAAAGTGAGATGGAGGAAGAAGGAGGAGGAGGAGTGAAAGATGATAAAGAAGCAGGAGGGGAGAAGAAGAAAGACAAGAGGAAGAAGACATAGAAGGAGCCGTAGGAGAAGTAGAAAGAAGAGGAAGAGGCAGGAAGTGAGGAGAAAGACAAGAGGAAGAAGGAGGAGGTGAAGGAGGAGGGAAATGCAAGAGGAAGAAGACATAGAAGAAGGAGACGGGAAAAGTAGAAAGAAGAGGAAGAGGCAGAAAGTGAGGAGAAAGACAAGAGGAAGAAAAAGAAGGTGAAGGAGGAAGTGGAGAAAGATAAGAAGGAGAAGACGAAGGAGAAGGGGAAAGATGATGAGGAAGCCGATGAAAGAGGAAGAAGAAGAAGGGGGATGGGAGGAAGAAGGAGAGGATAAAAAAGAAAATAGAAAAGGAAAACAGAGAGGAGCAAAGGAAAAAAGGAGTGTTAGTGTAAAAAAGTGTATTAGAGATGAAGATGACAGTAGTGGAAGTGGAAGAGGAGGAGCAGGACAAAAGGGGAAAAGCAGGAGGTGGTGGCGAGGGAAAAAGACAAAAGGAAGTGTGAGGAGGAAGGAGATGACAAGGAGGCGAAGGAGAAGAAGAAGGGAAGGAAGAAGGAGAAAGAGAAGAAGAAAGATGAAACGATGATGATTAGGAGGAGGAGATGGAAGTAGCACAAAAGAAGGAAAAAGAGGAAATGTAAATAATAGAAAAAAGAATCAAACATGAAAGAGGAGAGAGAAGAACAAGGTTGAAGAAGAAGAAGGCAGCAGAGGAGTAGAAGAAGAAGAGATGGTTCATTAGAAAATGAAGAAAAGAGAGAAGAATGTAGAAAAGAAGATGAAGAAAAGGAGGAGGAGAAGGACATGAAGAAGATAGCAGCATTAGAAAGTTGAGTGTTCATGCAGTGTAAAACTTGTGCCCACCTCAACTCAGACTAAACAGTGTTAGAGAAAGTGGGACATGTTTTAATACTCGCTCATTAGACGGTGTTCATTTGTTCTGGGAGGTTTACAGGTAGATGTTCAAATGAAGACAAGCATTTCAGCCGACACAACAGCTGACGTTGAGTGGAACCGTTTTCCTAAAGTACGTAGGCCGAGTGATTCATCTGCACATTCACCACTACCATTCGCTCTCTGAGCTCTGTGGTGTTTCAGATTCCAGCACTCAGCCTTATTGCAGTGGAATGTGGGCACACACAGTGCCAGTGAATGTGATGAGATATTGACGGCAGAAGAAAGTCTATAAAAATAAAGTAGGAGTTGCACAGATTTAGGCAGTGAGATAATAGAAAGAAGGACCTTTGGCTATGCAGACAGTAGCAGTATTGGTTACACTATAAGCAAATGGGTCTAACTGCAGAATTGGTCACAGGATTGGGGAAGGTGACCTAAATACAGAAATTGCTTACAGCATGGATAAAAGGATTTGAATACAGGATTGGATAAAACATAGAGAAGGATGCTTAAATATCTCGGGATTTGTCCTGGATGTCTCATCCTACACTCAATAGGTATAATGGTTACCGTATTCACCATCTTACAGTAATTTAGCGTGTTAGCATGCGTTTGCCAATTAGTACCAAACACCAAGTACAGTCAAAGGAATGTCATTTGTTTTGCACTGTATTTGGTCTAAACCAAAGTACCAGACATATTAGAATTTGGACCTGATGATGGAGCTACACAAAAAGTCAGAATCTCCAATGTCATTATAATTCATCCTCTGGGGAACATGAATGTCTGTACCAAGTTACATGCCAATCCATTTACTAGTTGTTGAGATATTTATCCGTTTACTTTTGAGACATAGAGTGACCAGGGTTTTGGTGATTCTGGATTCAGAATCCTATCATCTTGCAAACACACACAAAACACTCCAAACACACTAATTAATAATTAGCAAAAACAAAAGTAAAAATTACAATAAATGGTCCTGACAGATGTTAAAAAACAAAAAACAAAAAAAAACACACATAGCATTAAACACATAGTATATATATTTGTATTATATTGGTCATCACGACTCAAAAGTCCTCAATTTCTGAAGTATCTCAGGAAAAAAGTATGTTAAAAACCTCCAGAGATTAATATTCTGTGTACATAATCAATGCAATTAGCATTAGAAGGTTGCAGGTCCATTTTGAATAGGCCGCAAGTGACTCAGGAATGTGTCAAGTTTGTAAAAAACACACTTTATTTTGAAGTATGGCAAATTTTTGACACAGAGCTTTTATTTTGAAGTGCAGTTTCCTGCTGTAGAGTAAGTGACTAACAGAGAGCTACTTAATAGAGACAGCAAACTACCTAAACAACATGGCCAAATGCAAGTATGATAGATTAAACAGTGTGGACCTTGAACTAATGACCAGTGTTGGGGGTACTGCATTACAGTAATATATTACTTTTCAGCAGTAACAAAGAAATTTAATGCATTACCAACAGGATTTCAGGTAATATCATTACATGTACAATGTCATGTAACGTGTTCTCACCCAAAATAAACTGTTTACTGTTTTCATTTTTCATTTATCCACACTGATCTACACTGCTCTGCTTCCGCCAGTGTGCCAACAGAAAAAAAACATTCCCTGAAGGTTTCTGTGTGTTGCCATGTTATTCATTATTCACTATCTTACAGAGGGGTGCCAGTGATCATGTGTGTTATCATGTCCAGTGTGTTTCCATTCATATACCTACACTGTATCCTGTTCTGCTTTTACATCCTAAGGCTGCCTGAAAACAGCAAGGATAAAGATATGGCCGCCGGTTTGTTTTTCCCTCATCCCGGTGATAGACATAAGTGATGTTAGAATATGTTGGATGTTTCCATTTATAGCCCTACAATTGCAGAGCAACGCCGACACACTGTCCCGTTCCTATGCATAATTCTCTTTCTTGTGCTGCTGTAGCCGACCAGCACACCAGGAACCGGCAGGTGGGTCCTCCAGCTCTGGTGTATCAATTTGCGCTCGTCATGGTGATTTACACGCACGCCATTCCGTTTGTTGTGCTAACCTCAATATTTGTTTATTGTGCTTCATGTCATAGGCCCATAAATACTGATCCATATCTCATAATCATTACACTTTGATCCTCTGTCTGACCCTCCCTGTGTCCAAGGCTTTTCATTTATTTTAAAAGGACTAGGCTATTTCATGGTTTTATCACGCTACTATTGATATAAACACAGGATTTTATTACAAAATGGTGACCGCTGTATGGGAATGCATGGACGGGTCAGACCTGAAATGAACTGTAATAAAATGGAGGTTCTGTGCTATGATTACTTGCTGTGATACAACACAACCCTCATCCATTTAAAATGCCTGGTAGTTCTTTTGAGGTCATTTTGGTGAAAATAATGCTTATTACTCTACAGAGAGAGTAATATAGTAATATACTTATTTCTTTTAAATTAAGGTAACTAGTAATATGTAATAAATTATATTTTGAGAGTAACTTGCCAAACACTTCTAATGACTAAGAAGAAATCTGGACCCCATTGCGGGACCAGTTGGAAACCACTGATCTAGACATCCTAGAAAAGTTATGTCCATTGGAATGGTTCTGGAAAACTTCATAACTCTTTCTTCAGAACAGTTATTATGTAATGGATTTGAAACCAAAGACACAGGGACATAATAAAGTACAGTACCATATGTCGTAGTCAGCGTCACAGTTGCAGTAGTGACTTGAATCCAGACAGTTGTCCTGCAGACCACAGGCACACTGTCGGCTGCCCGGCAGAGCTCCGCCCCAGTGTGTCTGAATCTGACCTGGAGCTGGACCTCCCACCCACCAGCTGAATGGAGCACCCTCTGAAACACACACACACACACACACACACACACACACACACACACACACACCATAAAAGACAAATCCTTTCTTTCTTTGCTTCAGGGGAAAGTGGGGAAAGTTATACTGCAAAACAGAGATCATTTTCACATCACTGAACAAAATGTGAGATGATGAATCCTACAGTAACTGACAAAATGGAAAACGTTTTTAGCAGAGAATTGTCACTCATCGATGTTTTCATCACAACACATTCTGTAGATATATTTGTTTAAGTCAGAACTTGCCTTGAATATCAAATTGGACTGAGGAATATCTTTCTGTCTTTCTCCATCTGAGTGTCTTCCAGCACCCATCTCTTCAGGATTTCAACAGAAACCACCACCTTTCTGTCCCTGCTCTTTACTGAACTCTGACAGCCTTACTACTCGACCTTGATAGTCCATCACTGCTATTTTCCCTGCTAAAATTATACAGAAAATCAGCAGCTACTTGATGAAAAATATCTCTCCCTCACAAGTATTTTTACAAGATGCACTTCTTTCTTCGGTGTAGTACTTAACTTTGACTTTTACACGACTAAAGGTAAGAAGATGTTAACATTTAGAAAACCAGCACAGTGGTAAAAATTCAGCTTTTAAGTGAACCTGTCAATTGTAAACACAATTTCGTGTGCATTTGAGTCTTTTTTTCTTCTTTGAAAGAGAGAATAAGAAAAAGAGCCCAGAAACTAAAGCAAATGATGATTTACTTGAAAAAAAAAAAACAAGTCGTGCAGCGGAGTAAGGAGGAGAAAATGCACAACAGAAATGTAATTGATGTTTTAATTAGCTATTAAATTAAACTAAATCAGCAATTCACACCACTCCTTTCTTGTTCCAGATATAGATCCCTCAAATGCAGAAAAGCTTGCCTTGCAAAGAGCTTTTTGCCTGGTGTCTGTACTTCACCACACCATCATCCATCTCAAACACACAAGCACACTCAGAGAGCTTCAACACAATTATGACACTTACATATATCGCATTCCCATCTCAAGAAAATACAACAGAAAACATCAGTGAGATTAAGTCTTAACCTGGTGTGTTGAGGAGGCGGGACATCCTGCAGTGGTAGGACAGTTCCTGCTCACAGTGCTCTGATTGGCTGATGATGGCTGCCAACTGCTCCTCTTCAGAGGCATAGTCAAAGTGGGTTGAATGTTGGTTTCTCTCAGGGGACAAATGAACTCTGGTCAGTTCTGTGTTATTGTGCTGGATCACCATCCATGCCGTGTCCTCTGGTGGAGAGACAGCAAGAGGAGAGTGTTGTTCAACTGCTCACTAACATAAATAGCTAATCAGCCAATCACATGGCAGCAACTCAATGCATTTAGGCAGGTAGACATAGTCAAGACGACCTGCTGAATTTCAGACCGAGCATCAGAATGGGGAAGAAAGGTGATTTAGGTGACTTTGAACATGGCATGGTTGTTGGTGCCAGAAGTGCTGGTCTGAGTATTTCAGAAACTGCTGATCTACTGGGATTTTCACACACAACCATCTCTAGGGTTTACAAAGGATGGTCTGAAAAAGAGAAAACATCTCCCCAGATCTCTGGGTGAGAATGCCTTGTTGATGCCAGAGGTCAGAGAAGAATGGCCAGTCTGGTTCAAAATAATAGAAAGGCAACAGTAACTCAAATAACCACTCGTTACAACCAAGATCTGCAGAAGACCATCTCTGAACCAACAACACGTAGAACCTTGAAGCAGATGGGCTACAGCAGCAAAAGACCACACCGGGTGCCAGCCCTGTCAACTAACAACAGGAAACCGAGACTACAATTCACACAGGCTCACCAAAGTTGCACAACAGAAGATTGGAAAAACGTTGCCTGGTCTGATGAGTCTCGATTTCTGCTGCAACATTCAGATGGTAGGGTCAGAATTTGGTGTAAACAACTTGAAAGCATGGATCCATCCTGCCTTGTATAAACAGTTCAGGCTGGTAGTGGTGTAATGGTGTGGGGGATATTATCTCGGCACACTTTGGGCCCCTTAGTACCAACTGAGCATCATTTTAACTTCATGGCCTACCTGAGTATTGTTGCTGACCGTATCCATCCCTTTATGACCACAGTGTACCCGTGGGTGAAGATGTGTGTCCTTGTGCATTACCTGTCATGTTACAGTAGATGAGCTGGGGTTTAATCGGTCCACTGCCGTCCACATCTATGTGATAATGTCCTGATGTGTTGCCCTTGTGTTTGTACGCCTCACATGACTGTTCGTATCTAGCTGTGAAAGAAAATGCAATAAAAGGGTATTGACAATAATAACATGTTCTTACAATCCAATTTGTGAGGAAACATTGCCCCTATCATTTCCTAAAAGCAAAGTTTGGGACTACTACACTTCCGTCTACATTGCTGGCTCCATTTCAGCCACAGACAGAGAAATTGATAGTTTACTGCAAATGGTTATACAATTAGATTTGGCAGAAAAGGCTCTGCTTTTCAAGGGAGCTCTCAAAGAGTCCGCGTGGCAATAAGAAGTCTGCTTGGAGAACTACCCCCAAGATGTGACATATGGGGAAGTTGGGCTAGTGTAGGAGGGAGTGTTGGCATCAGACAATCAGCAGAGTGATAGTGAAAGCTGAGAGTTTATAAAACACTTGTTTGAATATGATTGAATGTTTCCAGCCAGCTGGTAGCTGAACAGATGACACATCAATAAGATGATTATATTGTGACAGCTGACAGCAATCAAGGAACGTGAGTGCTACTTCAGTGCTCAGCCTGAACAACTACTATGCTTCGTATGTGTCGGAGATGTGGCCAAGCCAACAGAAGAGCAATCTGTCTGATATGAAAATTGGCTGAATAATGATGGTAATGTCTTGTACCACTCAAGTTGTTAAGCAAGTATACAGTCAGTGAACATCCAACTTTTACCCGATCACTAGATAATAACATTTTTCAAAACAGTATCCATTTTTGTTGTTGTCTTCTCACCAAAATTTTTCAAAAATAAAAATGACTTTGCTTTCAACATTCAAGATGTTTACTTTTTTCTGACTTAAAGGGACAGTTCACCCCAAAATCAAAACTGTATTTTCCCTCTTGCCTGTAGTGCTTTTAATGGTCTAGATTGTTTGGTGTGAGTTGCAGATATTGGCTGTAAATGTATAATTTTAGCAGACTTTTTCTTTCAACACATCATATTTGAATTTTGTTATTGTTTTTACCTTATATTGTCACTGGGTATTCTATAGTTCTACTTTTTAAATTGTTTTAATTGTTTGATTTTTCTTTGCTTTTCTTTGCATGTTCTCCCCGTGTCAACATGGGTTTTTTTCCAGGTACTCCGGCTTCCTCCCACAGTCTAAAGACATGCAGGTTAATTGGTGACTAAATTGTCCGTAGGTGTGAATGTGAGTGTGAATGGTTGTCTGTCTCTATATGTCAGCCCTGTGATAATCAGCGACCTGTCCAGGGTGTACCCCGCCTCTCACCCAATGTCAGCTGGAATAGGCATGCTCAACAGGATAAGCGTTTACAGAAAATGAATGAAATGAATTTAGAAATAAAGTTCATTATTATTATTATTATTATTATCTTGAATATAATGGACCTAGATGGTACCTTTTGAAAGACTCAGCAGCAATGTTTCTTTCCAGAAATCAAGACCCGATTACTCAAAGTAATCCATGATCCTTGTTGTGAGCAGTTTCATGTAGGAACTATTTTCTTTCTATTGAACTACACCCACCAACCATATCAGTGTGCAGGTGAGCTAGCAGTAGTATTCCCGCTTCTTTCTGTGTGGTGATACAAGGTTCTAAACACTCCGCAACTTACATCAAAACAATCTAGATTGTTGAATAGCACTACACGTATTTTTGATTTAGGCGTGAACTGTCCCTTTAAGTAGTACACAGAGAATCATCACTAGATTTTGATATAAACTAAAATTGATGAAGAAAATATGAACCAGAACTGTCAAAATCAAGTCAAAACCATGCCTAACACTGACCATGTCTGCTTGATAACTCTTTGTCTTGTATTGAATGCCCTGCAGGTTTGAATTGCTCCAGAGGAAAACACCTCCCCAACCCTATTAGTGCATTAGTGCTGAATTAAAAAAAAACAAAAAAGAGCAGTGGAGGCCAATAAAATTAACAATTCTTTAAAAAAGGCATCAAGTAATTAAAAAGCTATGTAACAACAAAAAACTAGCAATTATGGAACTGAAATAGGTGAAAAAAAATTATATAAAGCCCTCTGGTTACATAAATAATGTTTGTACACAAAGACTAACACACACACTCTCTACAATATAGAGCATGTAAAGAAGTCACAGGAACAATGGAAGAAAGTTTGCCACATTGTATCACGTCAGTCAAAGACTTTTCAAGATCGTTCCCTGATACAACTCAAGAAAGGTTTTGACCCGAATACAACAATCAAACACAGGGGTAAGCAGTGTATGTGTGCATGTGTGGTAACCTGAGTTGGCCCTGATCCAGCCCAGAGCTGATCACACCACCGGAGCGTAGAAAGATTCAATCAATGCTTGGCAGTGTAATCAAAGCCACAATCTCTTTAATTTCTAATTTGACTCACCTAAAATACTGTAGGCAGTCTCTAAGTTGAAATCCATTTATGTAGAAAGAACAGTCTGCCTCAGGACTCACTCTCTTTCCCTGACATGCTCATCTGCTGTATACCTTCGTCTTGCTCCTATCCTCACTCTCTCTTTATCTGTCTCTCTATATGACTTCTTCCAGTCCTCATTTCTTTTTTTGGTTTCTTCTTTCTATCTCTCTACCCCTCTCTATTTTCCCTTTCTGTCATTTTTTTCTGATAATGCTGGGGAGGGAGTTAAATGATTTTGCGGTTTGCTCTGAGCCTCACAAGAAGTCTTTCATTCTAGTTCAAATGTTCTGACCTATATAGCAATATTTAGAAGTGGTTAGAACAAAAAGAAATATTTCAGACATTATAGTATAGCTGCGTTCGAGACTAAAAATAATAAGCCGTGAGGAAAGTTTTTCAACCCACACTTTTAAAAACTCTCATAGCAACGTTCAATAAAGGAACCTCAGGGCTCTTACCACAGAACTTTTTGCAACAAAGCATTTAATGTCAGATTTGTACAGAAAACAGTCTTTTATGTGTAATTAGTTTTTTGACTTTCTGGCTACTGGAGAGAACAGCACTGTGCCCGAAGGTGGTCTACAGTAAAACTAATTGGGGTGTACCCATGGTAGCCATTTGATTTAGACTGTTCTCTTGCACATTGTCTGTCTCCATCTCCAGACCAGTGGCCAGAATAAAATGTTGGCTTTTTAAGTTTCTGCAAACCATCAATCTTATATTTGTACATTTCATTAGTATCGTATTAACATTTTAAGTGACAAAAGTTCTGATAACATGTAGGCCTATAGACCATCTAAAACTTGACAACATGATGATTCTATATTTGTATTTCCTGGTCGAATGTTTGTTAATGAAGTGGCTGACAAGGAAACTATAAAAGAAGGAAAGGTGGAGTCAGATTTTGGTGTCAGTTCTTTTAAAGTTAATGGAGCAGACATGGCATATCACAATATTACCCATTAAACCTTTGTTGCTTTGCCTTTAAAGGGGAAATGCGTCCGTAAACATTAAAAAAACACAAGATAAGTAACACTGGCATTTGTTTTTTTATCAAAATATATGCATTTATTTTCCTTTTTCTGGTCTCCAAACTGTCTTAAGCCCCTGTTTGGTCCAACAAAGATAACTTAACATTATACTCGACCACAAGGGGCCAGTCCGACATAGGTCCGACTTGTTATCACTGACCAGACTGCAGTTATAACCAGATCAATTTATTAATGGCTCTGGCTATTATTCTGTCTGGACTCAAGAGTTTGGTAAATATCCACCAGACTGGGACTTAACCGTAGCCTACAGTGCCTTGCAGTTTGCCTCAGTGATTTACACTCACTAATGTTAGCTATCTAACGTTAGCCTATATTATTAGCTTGCACACAAAAGTCATAACAACGATTGAGCTAGTGAGGTTGTGATATTTGCTGTCACTCACCAACACCACAGCTCCATGTCTGTATGTTTTACACCTCCACAGAGTTTATTTCTGTCATTTCTTTTTGGTGTTATCTTCAAATCAGTGCAGGTAGTCTGCAGACTAATGTTAGCTAAACGAAGTCGAAATGCTAACCTAATTCAGTGATGAACGAACTTTGAAGTACCAGTAAGTGATAAAGGCCCAGATTTATAATAATGTGGCACCTCCTGATTATTGTAGGAAACAATATAGAGCTGCCTCACATTAGCCCACCTGAAAATGCTACCTGCTGCTAACAACAGGTAGCATTAGCTATCTTAGACCATAGGGACTTGAGATGAAGCTAGGAAGAGTCATGATCAGTTAAGACCAATAACAAGGAAAACAAAGGGCATATTTCAATGAAAAGAATCAATCAACATTATGTAATGTGTGTTTTTTTAATTTTGTGGAAGGATTTTTCAGTAAAAGTTGAAACAATGAAGATATGATGGGTTATAGTGTGATTTGCCGTGCCTGCCCCATTAACTAATTAAGAAGCGACATCAAACTCTGGCTCCAACACAAAATTTGAATGCTGCCACTATCATGTCAATTCTTTCTTTATTCAATTTCTTAGTAGCTGACAGAAAATAAACATGGACCAAAGTTGTTGCCACTGCAACAAAATGGCAATGAACCCTTGAAACAAACAACTGAAAATGTCAATGTAAAGAAACTAAAGTTTAATATATCCACTACATATGAAACAAACAAATTTAACATATCTTTAATTTGCAGAAACATACAATGCCAAAATGTTATTCTGGCGATCAGGTTGCCATTTCTACAAAAGATATATGACTTTACTGAATTATGCTTTGTTGTGTCTGGAAGCAGTCAATTAGTTAACCCTTAACTAACAATGGCCATCAGCTTAAAATTCACAGCTCTCTGCAACATTGATACAACACGATAAAAAAATATGGGTCATCAAGCATTATATGGCAATTACAGTGAAACAGAAATAGCTCAAGACATCTCACAAGTATGCCCTCTCACCACTGCTAGTGGTGTCTAATGGCTCTAGGGATGGCAGCCATCAAGCACTTCTCAAACATGTTGAGCATGCTTTAATGTGTTTGCATTTAATTAATGAATACATTAACATTAATTAATCTGCCTGCATATATATATTCAGTGTCTTCAGAATGAGGACGGGCTGGTCTACTGTCTATGCTTCTGTGTGTGTGTGTGTCATTACTTTTGTTTACTAAAACTGTTGATCTGTAAGTGTTTGAAGTGACTTGGGTCATTTTATGATAACCTTTTCAAATGAACTGCCACGAAACCTCATACCTCTAAAATGAAAATACTGAGCAAGTTCACCACTTGCTCCGACGTGCTGGTTGATGTGTGCTGTTTGAAGTGGGTGAAAATTGTAGCTTTCATCTAGCACATGATTCCTTTGTTCTTTCTTCAGCTGCCTCTCAGTGGATACAATGACACTTTATTTCTGCATTATGTATTATCAAGCAGGCTATATTTGTTGAGAAGCAGCATATCAAATTTGGTGCAAACTTATCTAAAAGTCTCAACAGGCCTACAGGTAATGTAGAGTTTGGAGAAAAGAGCCATCATGGTTTTTTTTGTTTGTTTATTAACCTCATTTTGTACTTAATGCATGTTTAACTTGAATTGCACTCAAAGTATCTGATGTAGTCAAGAGGAAAAGAGGAAAAGTTAAGTTGTCTTAATCACGTATTTGTGTATTTTATAAAAATATGCCGAAGTTACAGTTGAAGAGAAATTCATATCTTAATACTGATCAGTTTAGGCACACCATTTATTGTCATCCTTTCCTGAAATCAGACCTTTGTTCTGGAAAACAAAAAGTTTTCCTCTGAGAATTTTCTGAGAAACAGCAGAGATTACCTCCATATCTTCATGTCCCCAAATATCAGAAATCCCTATATTTGCTTTATTTCAATGAACTTATTTCAACATGAACCTCTGCCTTATCATGTCCAGAGGGACTTGAGTGAAGAGCAGCCTGTCACATCACTTTACACTGGGCTAAAGCTGGGCACACACAGATGCACACACATACACATCACACAAATGTGCACACACATTTAAAATGAATAAATAAGATATGAGATAGTGGATCATCTGCAGGTGTCACAAAGCAAATAATGAAAGCTTTTAAGACTTTAAAATTTAATGGAAATCTAATTTACTCAGAATAATAAAGCACCGACAGTTTATCCTATTCCCGATTGTACACGGCTAATTAAAGTGTTGAAACAGTGAAGCAGGAAAAAAAAATACAAAAGGAAATTAAGTGTAAGGAGGCATGGGGTCTCACTGTTATTAAAGCGGATGCAATGAGAACATGTCTGGAATACTGAATTAATCCTATTTTCTATTAATCGACGACAGCTTCATTCACAATTTGTTAGATGCCTCTCCAACATTTGGTATTCAGCCGAATATCAGATGTTGCACTCAGAGACAACAGGGAGAAAGATGACGGCTCTATTTTTGTGTACACTATTGTATTTTGCTATCTAAAAACACCAAAACGACAAGAACTTTTCCTCCCTTTCAAATAGTGACATTGTGTGAAACATGTTCTCAACTGTATTGTATTATGAGAAAAAACTAACACAGGCTAATGAAAGGAATAATATTTCACTACCCTGAGCTTGCACTGTATGTTAACAATCACAACAGACTGAGGTTAAGACACACAGCATAAACATAATTCTGCTTTGTTGTTACAGATACAAGATCTATGAACATAAATTCTCCATTATTTTTCAAGTCTTTTTCCTTGTTATATGAATAATTAAACCTAAAGCCATTATAGGCTTTATATTATGGCATTATATAGCCATTATCACCCCTCAGGGCAAATGCTGCAGCTTGGTCGGTTGCCCTTGGGTTCTGATTCTGACGCACAAGGCACCCTTTAAGCATCTGTTTGAGACACACCAGCAGTGGCATAAGGAAGTTACAATGGGCTCCAGTGCACGCTATTGCACATGTATTGTCTTGACACAAATAGAGACCTCACTTCGGACAGGATCAACACACCCAGCAATCACCATTGCATATCTGACAAAAAATATTAAAGATAGTACGAAATTAATAATTTAATCAAATAGTTTTGAAAGTATATTAATAGATGTTATACTTATATTGAAAAAGCATATAATTTGTTTTAGATAGCTACTGACTATTTGAAAAAGAAAAAGAAAAAAGAAAACCATGACACAGATGGATTTGTCTTTTTGAGGACATATATAGCAAATGGCACCATTTTTAAATTATTAATATTAATATATTATATATTAATATATTTTTATCATTAATCTATGAACACAGGTATATTTCCAAGGTGACAATCTGAATAACTTGCAAGGGCCCACCCTCTCTACGGGCCCCTCCACCCCAGGGGCCCCACTGCAATTACACTGCCTGCACTGTCTATATTTACGCCCCTGCACACCAGACTTTTCATTAACTCCCATGTCAAACAATTTGCAGCAATAATGTAGTACAAAGAACAAGAAAGTCCATGTAGGAAGGAAAGGAAGGAGGGTGGTGGATTGGTCAAATAGACACAGGACTGTCACTCAGGAGACCGCTGTCTGTGTCTTGTATGAAACCAAAAGTCAACGTTAGGTTTTATCTTTTCATTATGTAACATACTTAATGTTACCTGAAATGTACATCGCATGACATTCTCATTAACTTCCTTACATATGTAAAATTCTGTAACAAATATGTTCATTTTAACCCCAGCCATCTTTTCTCTAAACCTAACCAAGTAGTTTTTTACCTAAACCTACAGAATGTGCCAAAACCTACATTTTTTTGTGAACACAGAACTTTATCTTGAAAGCAACGAGCAGAAATTGAGGGGTACCTAGAGCCTTATCGTTGGAAGGACAGGCCCACCAACCAAGCTGCCGTATTTGACATATCGGGAGTGGGAATGTGCATATTGTTGATGTCTATTCACACAGTGCTTTAATTTGACTAAAACGTGTCCTTGTGGTATAATGATGACAGGGAATAAGGTCATTAAAAAGTACTGACCACATTTTAACACTTTAATAACTCGTATTTTCGTTATTGTGTTTGAGGCTTCAAGCATTTCAAAGACCTGTGGATGCCCTTTTGCTGGGTGCTTACAGCTGTGGCAGGTGGCTCCTCTGTAGCCGCTGTTGGAGCAGTTGCAGTGAAAGGTGCTCCATGACTGAGTACATCTACCTCCATGTTCACAGTGACTGGGGGAGCACCTGAGAGAGACACAGAGACACAGACAAAGAGAGACAAGGGGAACCTTAGTATTCGTAAAAAAAGTTCTCTAAAAAGTTTCTCAAGGATGTCGGTATGAAAAGGAACAGCAGGCCTTCAGCACACCTGTTCTGATGAGCAGATGAGTGGGAGGGACCTAAATAAAAGCAGACTTAAAACAAAACAAAAAAAGTTTCAATCTCTTAAATGAAAACTTCACAAGCCTTTATTTGCATGTCAAGTGGAAAGCAGGTGCACGATATGAAAGGAAACTGAAGTTGAGACATTTCTTTGTTAGTATTGTTAACTAACATTGCATCAGCCAGAGACAAAATTCTTACACTCCTACCCAACCCTGTCTTTCAAAGTACAAGTAATATTTCATTATTTATTTACATGTTTTGGGTTCATAAAAGAAAACTGTTTTTCAAGACATGGAACCATATTTTTTTCTTTGTCTCCCATCTGCTGAGTTTCCTGAACAGCGTCTGATAAAAAAAACAAAAAACATGAAGTTGAATCCATGAGATCTTTGCTTCCAAGCACTCACTGCTGTACGGTTTATTATTACTATGTCCTATTCTGTTTTTTGGGGTTTTCTGTATAAAGTTTTGAGTTTCCTGTGTCTATCACTGATCATGCTATTGTTGGAACCACTGGAACTTCACAGATAATGGCTTTATTTTGAAACAGAAACACTCCCTGTGCCCTTGTCTGAATTAACTCAGTTACCCGAAAGTTCTCAGGTTTTCCCACTGATTTGTGAAACCCTGCCCATGGACCCAGTATTTAATTACAGTTGGTCAGTGTAACCTATAACACCCTCTACTCTTTGGAAGTCTTCACCCAGAAGAGTCACTACAAGTGGACATGCTACATCCCTTCCCACTTCTTCTACCCTGCTTAGCTCTTTACTTCAGATGTATGGCGTCCACCCACAGCAGATACAGAAGACTTCTCTTTCTTTTCTTTCAAGAACCTGTCTAAAGATTCCTGGTAAACAACTTATGCGCCAGCAGCTAAAACACAAAGCTAACTTACAAGAACCAAAGGAGAAAGAAAGAAAGTTAGCATTGAGCTGCTAACCTGGTTTCCTCTGATCTGCACAGTAACAACAGACTGCACTGAAACCACCACTCCTCCACAAAGGATGGGATCGCATTGGTTCGACATCCCATTAGTCCGACTGTCCGCGGTGCTGAACGGCTCGCGGCAAGTGTATGGTGCGCCGCAACCGGCTCTGGGTCAGCTGGGAAAGGCTTGAGGTGGAGCAGGCTCACGGCTTATGTGTTTGTCACTTTCTTTTTCATTTTAACCCACACCATGATCTTTTCCTAACCCTAACCAAGTGGTTTTTGTGCCTAAACCTAACCAGACCTTAACCACAGGGCATCATGATGATTTCGGAACGAACTTCGGAACAATGAGTTTAATATGGTCGGAACAATGGGATGTCGGACCAATAGGCTGTCGGACCAATGGGCAGTTTCCCTAACAAGCAGCAAGCCAAAGCAACTCTTCTCTCATTCATGGACTGACTGGGCCTAGCGTAACGTAGCATTCTCACAGCAATGACACAAGGCAAAGCAAGACTGATTAACTTTTTATCAATGTACATGCATTTTAATTTGATTGAAGGTTATTCGCTGAGTTTCTTGTTGTGATCACTTTATGGTTATTGAGTAATGTAGTTGGCTTTACCGCAACCGCTAAGTTATAAGTTGTGTTTTACACAGATGTGGGATCTTGAAGGCAAACTAAGTATCTTCTCTCTGACCTGGCACCTTAACCTTACACAAATTGGATTTACATAAAGATATACATGATCTCCGTCTCACAGCCACCAGGTGGAACAGATATACTGTCCGTGTAATGCTGCACAAAAGTGAATCTTGTTAGCCTCAGACTACATTATCAGGCTTTTCATTGTTAGACTAAATTATGATATGGCTGTCATTTTCTCTTTCTCAGTTAAATATGTTAAACGTTAAAGCTAACACAAACATTCAAAACATTCAAAATACATTTTTGGGGGCAGCAGTAGCTCAGTCCATAGGGACTTGGGTTGGGAACCGGAGGGTCGCCTGTTCAAGTCCCTGTCCGGACCAAAATATGGAGCGTGGACTGGTAGCTGGAGAGGTGCCAGTTCACCTCCTGGGCACTGCCGAGGTGCCCCTGAGCAAGGCACCAAACCCCCCAACCGCTCAGAGCGCCTGTCATGGGCAGCCCACTCTGACATCTCTCCACTTAGTGCATGTATAGGTCCAGTTTGTGCATGTGTGTGTTCGGACCTGTGTGTAATTGACAACAGAGTGAAAAATTGAATTTCCCCTCGGGGATTAATAAAGTATGAAAAAAAAAAAAAAACACTAATTAGCCTCAACTCCACTCTGTTCCCTCTGACAACATTCATCCACAACAGCAGAACAGTCCATCCAGCCAGTACAGTGAATGATGTCTATATAGTGTCTCCCATAGGATGAGAATATATCTGTGTTAGGGGTGCTATTAGAAGTAAGGAGAGGTCATTTTGTACTGGAGGGGCTGTAACATTAGCAAACCAGCTGCAAACAGTTTCATTTTCTTGTATATTTCGCTGGGACTAAGTGTCCGAGAGTTTAATCAACCCTCGTTAAGTGCTAATAAGCTAATTTGTATATGTAGTCACATGGGCAGAAAGTACAACACAGGGAAGCACTTCATTAACAGTGATTAACATCCATTAAGGAGAAGGTGTTTTTTCAATCTATACAATCTCACACTGATGTACAATTCCAGCAGAGTGTAATATAATCAAGTATGAGCCACCCAAATACAGTAAATCAGTGGGAGACACTGGCTTATATGACATAGTACACTCTGTTTAGAAACATCTGTCCTTCTAATATCCTTAGATCAGGGGTGGGCAACCCCCAGTGGCTCCCTGTGTCTTTGATATAAACTTAAATGGAAATGAATAATACTTTTTTTAAATTTACATTTTAACTTAATTCGTCATTGTTTTAAGCATATAAATTCTTACATTCTCCAACTGTCCAAACATGTGTAGCTTGCACACTAAGTTATGCTTATTTTTAACATTTCTTCAACTAAAATCTTAAGTAGAATTTGTTCAGTGATTAATCATTCCTGTATTTTAACTTTACTTGAGCTTAATTTACCCTCATATTATGTTTAGTAATACTGCTTGGACTGCCACATGTCCCACTTATCTCAATACGATTTTTCTAATTCAAAATACATTTTTGAGTGTGACTAGCTTTGCTAAAAGATGCAAATCATCTGCTTCTCTCTTTAGAAAATATTAACTTTCATCAATTTGTAATGTTTACAGTAGACTTGTGTAGTCATGAATAAATATGTACATCTCACTCATGACTTGCTGAGTATTCTCCAGAACTTTTTTTAAGTCATTCATTCATATTCCACAAGACACTCTTTTACCACCTTTTGACACCTTTATCTTCCACATCGTCAGACTTCTCTTAATCAATATTCATTGAAATACAGACACCCATCTCTCTGGAACATCCTTCTTCCATCTCTACAATCATCATCTTCATTATTGTCATTCAAAAAACACATGATAAGAACTCTTATTTGCAAAGACTATTAACACTTCATTGATTAATTTGTAATTTGTTTGTGTTTTCTTTTCTTTTTTTGTAAACTGTACATCTTTAACAATTTTGTATCACTTCTTAGTCTGGAAGTCTTGTTCAATTATGCAATCTTTGTTTTTATCTTTTTCTTTTTATGTATGATTGTGGTCATAGGGTAGGTATCTTTATAAGCCATTGCTGGCTTCTAACCTCTCCTGCAAAATGTTTTAACTTTTAATTTCTTTTTCCTGCATTTTCTAAACATGTATGTACAAATAAATTAAACTAAAACATGTGTGATATGTTTATGGCCTGATGCCTTAATTGCTCTCTAAATTGTGCCAAACTTTAGCAGCAGTGGCTTGTCTTGAGTCTCCCATAGCTACTGATTCAATCAAAAAAAAAAACATAAAAACACCAATGCTGCAAAGATTGGCTGTCTTGTGGTAAAACATATTGATGAATTCATTTAGACATGGTAGTTATGCTGATATGTTAATGTAGACTTATTAGGCTGTGTTACCTTCATTTTTTTAATTTATATTTTGCAGCTGCAGATCCTTACCTTAGATCATAGTGTTGCTCAGAAGCAGCTTGGGTTCAAGTTTGTTTCCTGTAATCATCTACATAGCATACACTAATATGGTGTAAATAAATAAATAAATAAATAGTCTAACCCTAACTCTCTAATCTAAACTCTCCCATCTAGAACATCTGAATGTAAAACAGCGAATTGCTGTTTAGAAATTGAATTATGTGTTTCTTGAGTCTCAGGTGTGAGAACTAGTTCCACATCAACATTGTCCCCAAAAACTATTTCAGATGTTGCTGTGAACACTTAAAATCACACACACGTTTTAACTACTGCACACCTGAGAACCCTTGTCGACATAACGCATTCCCTTACCTTGAGCCTAACGTTTACCACAGAAACTCTATTCCAATCCCTAACCACTCATACTTATTTTTACCTAAAGTGCTTATATATTTGTTTTTAATTTAAGTATCTCTTTTATGTATGTTTATTCACATTATATATTATCTTTTAATACATTTTGTTTTTTTAAATTAAAAGGTGTATTGTCTTACTATTTTTTTATTATTATTTATTTAAACTGTCATTTTAACATTACTCATTTTTAATTAATGCACAAAGCAAACGGTGAGCCATAAGAGTCCAACAGTAGTTTAACTAATCCTGCCTCTGCCCCTCCTGAGTGAGTGGACCAAAAACATTTTAATGGATTCTAGACAACCATATAGAGATTTTTTTTTTTAAGGGGTCCTTGTGTGACTGTGCCCCCGATTCCACTCATTAGAGCGTTTTAACCCAAACCTGACCACTACCTTAACCTTACCCCAAATCTCCTCACTCTCAAAGTCTGAAACTTGGTATGGTC